TTGTGCTTTGCAGTTACATCACAGTGAAAGATTCATGGTCAACAGGATTGTTTCAGTTTTGATGACTGGTGAAATGAGCAGTTTTGCTAATTTGAGGTCATGGCAAATCCATCTACTATCAACAACAGTGCTGCCATCTATGATGTCATTAGAGCTCTCCAAAAATGATAACTAAAATAGCAGCATGCCTGGAAATAAAAAAGACCTTTTCACACAGTGAGCTGTGTGTTTCCATTGACATGAGACCCAGGTTTAGTCACAGTTGGGAGGGGTGATGTGGAAAGCAGAGAACTCTGGCCTACTCTGCCTGAAGTCACAAGTTCTTCAACCATCTTTCTGTCTTTGGCGTATTAGACGACCAAAGAATGGAACATGCAGTCACACTGTGGCCTGGCACAGCCCTCCCAAGGCTAGCCATTAGCAAATCTGTTTGTTCCTTTGATCTGCAGGAGCCTTGACCTTGGTTCCGGGCTGAGCAGCAGATGTGTGAGGCTGAGATCTGTGTGTCTTGATGCCATGGTGGAACTGTAACCACCCCACGGAATATCTGTGCCTTCCACATCCAGGCGAGCTCTAACTAAGCAGGCTCAGTTTGGCCTTTTAAAACATAACTTGAACACAAACAAATTTCATGACTTCTTTTAAAGTTCCTGAGTGAAATTGACCAACTAGAGAAAGACAAGTATCACATGATCTGACTTATATGTGGAATCTAATGAACAAGATAAGCTGACTGATGAATGTCAAAGGGGATGGGGTGGGGGGAAGAGATTAAGCAAAGAATTTATATGCGTATACGCATATGTGCATAACTAACGGTTACAGACAACAGTGCAGTGAAGGCCTGGGAGGGGGGAGGGAGCAGGGGGGAGGGGAACAGGGATAAAAAGAGGCACATCAACAATAAAGATAATTGAAAAAAAAAAATCCTGACTTTTAACCCTGCTCCCTAGAGGTCCAAGATGGAATAAGACTCCCAGGCATGGAGCATAGATAATTCTCCAATCACTACAGCCCTTGCTCAAGTCCACTCAGGAAGAATCTGTCTTAAAATCCAAGCCCCTTCTTTATTGTTTGAATCCACTGGGTCCAGGCAGGCTGAGACAAGTGGTAGAAGCAAACAATTCATTCCCATGAGGGCACAAGCAGAGGTTCCTAAGTCCAGTTTCCTCCAGCAAATATTCCCTGACCATCCCAGGCCAGAGAACTCTTTCTTCAGAGGGTCCAAGTGAACACTGCTCTCATTCGGCCCCTAAACTTAAATAAGCAACTAGAGATACAAGAAACTGTAGGTTCTATTCTGTTCACTCAACTAGACCACACATTCATTCAATTAAGAGCCATGTCTATATTTCTTTGCATCTCCTAGTACCTAATACAATTCCTTAAATATATTCAGGACTCAATAAACTCTTGTCGACTGACTGATTGATAGGGATGGTTTTCTATTCATTTTCATACCTTCAGCACATAGATGGCTTTTGCTGATTACCAGGACAGGACAGTTTTGAATAAATAGAGAAACGAAAAAAATAAATGCTACATCAGCACATTAGTTAATAATGTTTTACGATGAGTTACGAAGAAAGAATAAATAGAAAAGCTGTGTAATAGAAAGGAATGAGCACTACTCTGGAAGCCAAAAAAATGGATTTAAATCCTCCTCCAAAAATTTGCTGAATAATGTTGGATGAGTCATATCACCTTTGGTCTCCAGAATTATTATAAATAAAATGCAGGGCTTGCAATAGATACTCTTTCTATGACTTTAGAAGGAAAAAAGGCAAGGAATGAAGGAATGAAACATGGGTTTCAAGTTTTACTCCAGGCTAGTTCTTTAAAAAAGTGGGTCCCCAAAGACCCCATCTTGTTTACAATAGTAATAATAATAATAACAGTAATTCCTTCAAATAGAGAAAATGGATCATTCTAACATCTATTTAAAGTATACTTTCGGTGTTGGTTAGATTTTATTTAGAATCTTTTATATCTAGGTTTCCAGTGAAATCTGTCTGTAATTTTCTTTTCTTATTATTTTTGGGTTTCGAATCAATGTTATATTGGCCTCATGAAGTGCGTTGTCTTTTTCTAACAACTTCTTAAACTCATCAATCACTATATTTTCTCCAAACAGGACATTTTCCTTAGCAGGTTCCTACCTACTGCTTTTCTCTGTCTTCTCCATTCATGCTCTACATGTATCATATTAGTAATGTCTAGAATGTTTCTTCAATACCTGAAAATATTACTTTGTGCCTCCAGGGTTACTTTTGGGAAAGTCAACATCAATTTGTTTCTTTTCTCTTATATGTAATGAGCTTTATTCTTTAAAAGCTTTGAGAGTTTTTTACTTACTTCCAATAGTCATACATTTTACTATGTTTCCCACTGAGGGCTCTCATTTTATTTTTTTGGCACCTTATAAGTCTTTTAAAACTGAGCTCTTAGGTCTTTTTTTTTAATCCTAGGACATGCTCAAAATTATTTCTTCAAATTCTTCCTCCTGTACATTGATTTTTCCCCTTTCTTTCTGAGATTCCAGCTTTATGGGTTTTGACCCATATCACTTAATATTTATTTTGTATTGACCACTTATTTGTGTCTATCTTTTTTACACAATGCCTTAACATTCTAATTTGTTACTTTGTTCTTCTAATCCATTCTACTAGAAATCTTGATTTAATTAATTTATTCTTTATGTTCCATATCTCCAATTGTTGTCTTTTATAATGGATTATTGCTTGACGTTTTCCATTTTTTTTTTTTCCTTATTATTTTTAGTATATTAGGCTAAATGTAAAGGATTCTTCTGCCTGGTCCATGGATTCTGCTCCATCTGGTGGGGCAGGTCCATGTCTTGATGACAGTACTTACTACACTCAGGGTTTTCCAGCTGCTGCGCGTGGACTCATTTCCCTGAGGTATCTGCTACCTTGACGGCACATGTGAACTTGGGAAAAGGAAGAAAATCTCAGGCTATACAGCTTGGTTTGTTTCTGGTGAGTGTTGGCAGCTGGAAATAATATGGAAGCAGATAGACTTTAAAATTACAAACTGGGCTCCTCATCCTCTGTTCCCTCCTCCTTCAATTCTGAACGTTCCGCCCTAGGACCTCAAATTTTTCAGCAGCCTCATCTCCAGGCTGTAATCATCCGATGGGACTAAAGGGTGGGAGCCTGAGGGAGTGTGTGGAACAGGTTGGAAGGAGAAAATGCTCAAGTGTTGGCAAGTTCACCACTGTTCTTCCGACCTGCTCCACTCCAGCTGGACTGTAGCACTGCCCTAGACTTGGCAGGCTACTTCCTTGTAGCTCTCTGCTGATTTTGCTGTTTTTCTGCTTTACTGTCTCTGGCATGGCAATGCTGGACCCCGGGCAACAGGAGACACAGGACAAGCAGGGCCTCAAAGCTCTCCCCCAAGCCTATCAGCCTGCTCATGGAGGCTATGTTCCATAGTTCCAACTCCCAATCCCAAACTGAGACATAACCACCTTCCATCTCTCCAGGAACTTTCTTCCAGTTTTATTTCACTTTTTCGGACCCATCAACCTCCCACTATTGCTTTTGCGGCAACACCAAGGTAAGATGTGAGGAGGGAATTCAGCTACCATTTTCATGAGACATCTTTCCAGGAATGGACAAGTCACCAGTGGTTGTCAGAGGACACATTAGGTCTCCTAGCCAATTCACGGGCTAGTTTCCTTTAGCGTTATCTTTTCCTTTTTTTTTTTTTTTATTCTTTCCCTTAGGATATTTTTCTATTTATCATTAGATAGAGTGGGAGGGAGGGAAAGAGAGAGACAGAGAGAAACATCGATGTGATAGAGCCACGTTGACTGGTTGCCTCCCACACGACCCCACCAGGGCTGGGGATAAACCGAAACCGAGATAAGTGCCCTTGACCGGCATCGAACCTGCAACTCATTGGTCCATGGGCCAATGCTCTAACTTCTGAGCCAAGCCAGCCAGGGCCTTTGGGAAAAAAAAATAAATAAATCTTTTAAAATCTTCTGCTGAGTCCTAATGCATAAAATAGGTAGGTAAGCTCAGTGATACCTTGATCGAAGCTGGACCGGGGTCCCAGGATTCTGCCTCCTGAGGCAGCCCTGCCCGCCCGCCACGTGGATCCCATAGAAATCTCTGTGGCACCTTAGAACTGCAAAGAACACTATCTGAAAATCAACCACCCAAACAGAGCATGGTAATGTTTATAGTTCAACTTATTTTACCGTCTCTTGTTTTGTTAACAATTCATTATATGGATAAAAGATCTTACTTCTTTTCTTATCTAAATGCATCACTTTTTTCTTTTTTTTCTTTCTCATTTCTACTGGTAGCAGGAATGAGATGAATTGGTGGTCCCCAGGCTTATATGCCTTGATTTTTCTGAGGAGAAAATCTTTAAAACCTATCCCGTCCTTGCTAGATCTCAGTCTTAGGCAATAGTTTAGAGGTTAGACCCTATATATAACTGTAAGCAACCAATCTGCCTTGCCTATCCCTCCTGGCTGATGAAAAAAACTGTATAAACCTCAACATCAGACCCAGGGGCTGGCCTGTAGGAGGAAGATTATTGGTAGAGAAGTGAAAACCTCTCGTTCCTTCAGCCATTTATCACCCATCCGTTGGATAAAACCACCCATCCACCAGACACTTCCTGGGCATCTACAGAGAGTGTCTTAAGAACTGGAGTTTTGGCTTGGTCATTCCTGTGCTCCCCACAGAGTCTAGAATGATAAGCAGAGTCGGTGCTCAAAAAAATATGTGGGGATCAAAGACCTTATTCTTGATCTCGCGGCATTAGGCTCTCAGAGTGGGCAAAATTATTCCTAAACCTTCTACTACAATTGCAGATACACATTACAACCTTGTAAGGGTTTCCTCCAAGCTAACCTCTATCTCCACAACTACCGTTTATTCTATCCGGGTGGCCACTGGCATGAGCTAGAAATCGGCCCTGCCTGCAAAGTCCTAAGACAAAGAATGAACTTCACACGTTAAGACACAAGACTAATTTGTTTATTTGGTGTGTTCTATAAGTTGAGGAGAGACATTTTGGGCAAATAAATAAATAAATAAAATCAGACAAACGGAGGCTTGAGGGCCCAGAGGGGGTGGGGGAGGGGCAGCGGAGTCTTTGCATAGTTCTAAACGAACAGAAGGTGGCAGCAGTAGGCAACGCGGATTCTCAGCAGAAATGCAGCACTTGCAAAAACCAGGGGCAGGAGGCTTTGAGAAAGGTCAGGAGGTGACTAACTATTTCTTTGCCATAGAGATCGCGGTGTGGAACGTTTGTCCTCTCTACCAAGGACGGGATGCGGTGTCCTACATGATCTGCCTGGGCGTCCCGTACCCCGTCATGCCTGCCTGGGAGGCGCCCTTGTTGCTGCCCATCTGTAGGCCGATCACGTTCTGTCCCTGGCGAAGCTGCTCCTCGGAAAATCCTCTCCGATTCTGCTGGGCTTTCCTGGGCGGAGGGAGTGAGATGGAATAATGTCATTTTGATAGTTTTCAAGTCCTTCCCAAGATACGCAGTTACACAGGCCTTAATGGGGTGGAGGTGGGGGGGGGGGGCACCAGGTAGAAGAGGAGGCCCCACCCGAGGCTACAGGCTGACCATGAACTATAGCCCTGTCCTGAACCATGCCCTACCATGATGCATGAGCTCCTACTCCTTAGAAGCCCAGATGGTTTTCTAGAATTTCCAGCAAAGATCAGTGGCTGCCTCTCTGGGGACAAACTCGCAGACAGATTTCCTGTCGCCCTCGCTCACACAGTTACTTCAAACCCTTATGAAAATTAAAATCAGTGCTTCTTACAGAGCATGTCATTGCTCCCATTCTGCCCTTCCCAGAAAAGGCCAAGGGTTAATGCTCCATCTTAGAGATGAAGGACCTGGGAGTTGTAAAGGGACATTTTTACTCTAGATAAGAAGTCAGCAGACTTCAATGAAGAGTCAGAGAGTAAATACTTTCGGTTTGGGGGCCTTAGAGGCCATGCTACGTCATTAATAAAGCTAGGACTAAAACCAGGATTTCAACTGGCCAGTATCTAGGAGGTTTTCAGACCAAATTCTTTTAAAATGACATAGACTTGCACCTTTTTGTAACGGTCAAGAAGAAAGAAGGGAGGGTTAGGGAGATGAAGAGTCAGTATCCGGTAGGACATTTCTCTTCCTCGCACAGAGTTATTGGGCTGAGTTCAAGCTCCCTAGCTATCCCCAACCCCCCAAAACAACAAAACAAGCCTCCTTAGGGAAAGGCCCTTTACTGACATGATTTATCATTTAGACCCGGCCACTTCTGAGAGTGAAAGAAAGCACTATTAATAAATACACCAGGACAGCAAGTATTAATCACCATCCCAGGCACCTAGGACATTGTCCCTTTGTTAAGTGGACGGATGATAGATTAGATAGATAGATAGATAGATAGATAGATAGATAGATAGATAGATAGATAATAGATTCAGGGCTACTTGGGTCATAAAAAAAAACAAGTTCAGACATCAAGCCACCTCTGAGAAAAGCAAGTCAGTCCTGCTAAGTCTCGGGGAAACAGAACGTGGGCAGAGCTGGAGGACCCGGGTGTCTAGCAGGAAAGGCCTGATCACTTCTGCCTGGGCGGACGGTGCTGAGCATCAGCAGCAGTGTTCCCTTGCTCTGGGGGACTCAGCTATGGGGCCAGGAGTGCCCCTGGGCACTTTGTGTTGAAATAGCTTCTGGGAGCCACCAGGCTTCAGATGCTCCTTTTTGTTAGTCAATCTCTGCTCCAGGAGTGCTGAGAGGGATTTTACCTGTGAAACCAGGAGGGCTCTCCCCGGTAGCAGCCATCATCCTTGGTGACTGCCACGCTGCCTAGAGCCATTAGGGTCCTCTGCACAGCCGCCATGTCCTTCCCTGGAAACCAACGAAGAGATTGAAGCCAAGCATGTGTCAGGGCCAAGGAATCTGGAAAGACAGGCTGGACCTTCGGGAAGGAAGTTCTCATAGGAGGCTGCAGGTGACCACATTCAGGGGACAGGGATATCAGATACTTCTCAAAGTGGTCCAAAGGCAACCATAGCCAAAGTTCTCAGAAAGGAACAAAAAACCACCTGGCTTATTCTTTTCTATATGGTGCACAGCAGAGATGCCAGTTTCTAATCCATTCAGAGTTGCTGTATGAAGCAAACGTTCCAAGCCCTTAGCAGCTCAGATCAAGGTAGGTCCCTGACCTGAGCAGAGGCTCCGGTGTCCGTGGTTCTGCTATGGGCAGGCTGGCATGGTGGACTGTGGAAGAGGATTTTCCTCAGGAAAGAGAAACAGAGACTGGAAAGAAACTGGTTGGATGGATTAACTGCCCTGAACCCCAGGTGGCTTCTCTCTTTCACTTTATCTGGGTTAAAAGGATCTAAAATCACCCATGTGCATCAAATTGAGTATTCACACAGCTGTTTGGGCTGGAACCCTGGCAAATGAAGAAAAACAAATCAACACAGAAAGCACTCAATGTGACACAAATGACAAGCCCTTTATTTTGTGGGGCTTGAAGGAGTCAGTGGAGACAATAAATAACTGGTGGGGCGGGGGGAGAGAGAGAGAGAGAGAGAGAGAGAGAGAGAGAGAGAGCTGTGCCTACAGGAGGGGAAGCACTGTTAGCCGAGGAGCCCAGTGACCCTTACCCCACGGAGAAGGCAATGGGACCCTCTGGGTCAGCCTGCTCCTCCCACCTTTTCTCCCTGCCCCCCTTCCAGTTGACTGACATGTCCCAGACTGAGAAAGATGCTACTGTGTGCTTAGTCCTGCAATTTAGAACCAGACCCACGGTCCATGCAAGCCAAGTGTGATGTGCAAAAGCTAAGGCACGGGGTTAGAAAGGCAGGCAGCATTCGGCACGGTGGGGAGCTGGGAAAGTTAAAGGCCATGCTAAAAGGCTCTCTTTAGACTGAGTGAAGCATCTGGGGTCTGTCCAGCCCAGCTGCTGTAGCTCAGTCACTGGGAAACACAGAATTCTGGGGGAAAGGCAGACAGAAAGTGAGAATGGTGTATGACTCTAATAAAATATAAGCAATTAAGGCTCACAGAGGAAGTCCAGTTCAGGATGTTCATTTATTCAACGATGAGAAAGACAGCAGATCCTTTTTTCCTCGTCTCTCTCCTCCATCCCATTAACCATGGAGTGATTTCCTGAATCCTGAGGTCTTGTGGGACTGGTTAATGGATACAGGAATAAAATACTCTCAATTGGAGAGTCCCCAAGACTCAAGGGACAGCTGGGGTAGTGGAGAAGGGAGAATCTGGGCAGCAGATGGAAGGAAGAGGGCATAGGAATACTGAGAATGAAGACAGAGGAAACACAGAGGTGGTTATTAGCATGATTCGTCTCTTCTGCAGATGAAAAACATTTCTGTAACTGTCACTGAATAACAGGATACTTTAAAAAAAAATAGAACTGTAGTGATGATATTCTGAAGGATCATTCTGGGAAGAGAGAGGGAGAGGATTTGATTGAAGTAATGAGTCATTAAAGAGAACCCAGAGAAATGATTAAGCACAGGGGGGAGTAGGAAGGCTGGATGTATCGCATCTCTATTCATACAAAGAGCACAGAGGAACTGTTCTCAATGGTTAGAAGCAATAGGCCCGGTGTGTCCAGGTTCCAGGAACTCAGCCACAGACCCAGCCTCCTGCACAGGTAGCTGGCTAATGTATACACTACCTGAGCCCAAACAGGGTGGAGGGAACTAAGTTGAGGGCAAAAGGAAGATATTCAAGAAACTAGAACTATAAATACCATCCCACCCTCATCCCAAAGAATGGAAAAGGAAGCAATCAGATGACTCAGGCAAAAGAAGCCAGGGAAGGAGAACTTGGACAGGCACAACATGCAGAGGTTTTCCTTAAGAGAGTTCCCAAGGCAAAAGATTTTATATAAATTATAAGCAAGATACTTTAGTATACGTGACATCGACCCCGTGGAATTGATGTTATTCCTCCCCATGTGGGAATAGAAAAACCAATTCAGCCCTGGCCAGTTTGGCTCAGCGGTTGAGCGTCAGCCTGTGGGCCAGAGAGTCCTGGGTTCAGTTCCTGCTAGGGGCACGTACCACAAAAGAAAAAAAAAAACAATTCAGAGAGATTAACTAACATGCCCAGAGTCACTCTCCATGTAATGGGACCCGGCTCTAGCTCTGGTGTCTGAAAATAAAGCCCACAAGCTGTCTAGCAGGCCACCCTACATGGGTCCCCATGGCAGGCTGGTGGAGACCCAGTGACCAGGGATGATCTGAAGGGATGGCAGTGGCTGCTTCAGTGCCAGGCCAGAGTGAACACACTGGGAAGAGGAAACTGGGGCACAGTTCTTGGACCCCACAAGATCAAGGGAACCAACCCTGAATGGCAGTAAGTCTTTGAGTATTTTGGTCTGAAATAATGTCTCCAGGTCTCAACTCAAATAAGAGTGAAGCATTTGGGGCCTGGAGTCCCCCATCAGTGTGCAGATCAAGTGAATTATTGTCAAGATTCTAAAGAACATAATGAACAGAAATCTGTGCCTGTAACTAGTTCCTGTCTGGCTCGTTTTCTTGTCATGTCGGGTGAGTTTCCTAGCGGATGCTCCCGTGAGGGACCCCAGCACCCTCGGGCTGACAAGCCGGCACGAGAGCCCCTGCCAGCCCGCCTCTCTGGCAGTGCAGAAGCCAGACCAAGTGCTGAGGCGGGAAAGGGGCCGCTGGTGGAGGCTGGGTCCTGTCACTGGGGGTCAAAGCTTGAAATGTCTAAAGGAGCAGGGAGGTGAGCAGTATCTGTGACGTGTGCCAGGGAGAAAGCAACAAAAGCCAAGCTGCTTGTGGCACCACCAGGTGAACCATCTGCCTAGAGCAAAGCCTGCTTCGGGCCAGGGCTCCCCAAGCATCTTGGGTGATTTATGGGATGATGCAGGGGATTTCTTTTGGTACATGTCCCTACTGGGAACCGAACCCGGGACTCTCTGGTCTGCAGGCGGACGCTCCAACCGCTGAGCCAAACCGGCCAGGGCCACAGGGGATCTCTTTAAAAATATGAAAGTTGAGGCCATTCCTGGAGAGACTGATTCGGCAGGCCTGGGGTGGGGCCTGGGAGTTTATATTTTTAATAAGTTCCATCAGGCAAGTTTGAGGAACATGGGTTTCACCTGGTGATGCCCAAACACGATTGGTCATCAGAATTACCTGAGAATCTTAAAAATTCAGGTTCTGGTGCAATCTCCCGAGATGGTTCTGATGCAGCCAGATCGGATAGGCAAGCCCTGCTCCAATTCTTTGCTTTTCAATTTCTTTAAAAAAATCCATATGGCCCTGGCCAGTTTGGCTTAGCGGTTAGAGCGTCCGCCTGCGGTCCGGAGAGACCCGGGTTCGGTTCCTGCTAAGGGCATGTACCTCGGTTGCAGTTTGTCCCCGGCCCTGGTTGGTCGTGCGAGTGGCAGCCACTCGATGTGTCCCTTTCACATCGATGTTTCCCTCTCTCTCCCTCCCACTCTGTCTGTACAAAAAATGGAAAAATGTCCTCGGATGAGGATTAAAAAAAAAATCCATATGCCTGGCATGTGGTAAGTACTAAATAATATTTGTTAAGCAATAACTGCTTCCTTCGGAGAGATCTTCTACAAAGTCAATTAGTAAAAATCAATAATGAGAAGGAGCTCTGCTCCCTGGAAACTGCCCCAGGCACTTTGGCAAGACAGCTTGAAAACCACTGCTCAAGGCTATTCTTCCAAGAAAAAAAAAGACTAGTCCTAAAAGAAACACCAGCTAGGTGCTGGAAATTTTCTAGGTGCTCGAGAGCAGAAATGAGACAGTCCTGGTGGTGACCTGAGAATGAGACCACTGGCCTTAAGGGTCGTGACGCATGAAAGCTGAGAGGCCACATGTGCATTAACAGCTCGGAGTTTTAATCCGGCTCCTGGAGTCTTCCAGCCCCCTATCACCGCGGAAGTTCATCAGACACCGACATTGTAAAAACAGATGGTGGCACAGTCGCTGGCTCCCCTGTCTCACCGCAAACCTTTTCAGAGAGTCTCAGATAGCAACTGGCACTTCCGCTGACAACAGACTGGCCCTGTCCCCTGCATCATCACAGTGCAGTGTTTCTCCATGTGTGGTCTCTGCTCCACGCTGCTGGGTGGTCACCTCTGCGGAGCGGGGCCAAGGGTTCTGCGTTGTAAGGACACCTGGCCCAACCCAGGGGTTCTTATTGCCCATAAGGTTTGAGGGCCATCACCCTAAAGATACTAAAACAAAGATACTGTTCTCTTACATTTTTTTTTAATCCTCATCTGAGGACATTTTTCCATTTTTGTTCAGATAGAGTGGGAGGGGGAGAGAGAGAGAGAGAGAGAGACATCGATGCGAAAGGGACACATCGAGTGGCTGCCTCCCACACAACCAGGGCCGGGAACAAACTGCAACTGAGGTACGTGCCCTTAGCGGGAACCAAACCCTGGTCTCTCTGGACCGCAGGCCGACGCTCTAACCGCTGAGCCAAACCGGCCAGGGTTGTTCTCTTACATTTTTAAAAATTACTTTCATGGTAGCTTATGCATATCTCTGAAAAAACAACAACAAATAAACAGAACAGTAAAAAGGAAGAAAAACGGCCAGAGAGATATCATATTGGTGGGGAAAATCAGGTTGGATACTCTACTTTTAATACTTAAAAATCAGTCTTATAGTCAAAATTCTGCTTCAGGGCTTCTTCCATATTATATCAATTTTGACTCTTCCTTGCAATCTTAGATTACTAGCGTTTTTCATCTTTCTAGGACTTACAGAGAAAGCAATCTGTGGATGAAGGAACCGTTTCGTACTTCCCTGGGTAATAACTTAGGCATAGTCCCCAATTCTCCACTCAAGATAGGGTCAATGGAGAAATGTCAGAGGATAGGCTGGGCTTGCATTGTGGGTTTTATAAATTTTTGTTGCTTGTCTCCCTAGAGAAATTCTCTAGGGCAGTGGTTCTCAAAGTGGGGGTCCCAGACCAGCAGAAGCAGCATCACCTATGAATTGGTTAGAAGTGCCAATTCCTAGGCCCTACTTTCCACTTAATACCTCAGAAACTCTGGGGCTGGGCCCAGCAATCTGTTTTAACAAGGCAATTCTGATGCACACCAGAGGTTTGAGAACCCCTGCTGGGGGGAAAACCAGCCAAACCCAGTTGTGAGCAGCACTTGGAATACATGCCGTAAAGGCTGTTCTGATAGAAAAGGATGCTTCAAGCAGGAGGCATCTGTGGAATCTCAAGTCACTACGGGCACCGCACAATATCCCAAAATATCTCTCAAATTGGGTGAAATGTCTCTCTGCTCTGCTGTTGAGGAATGACACATTCAGTGACACCTCAGAGAATATATTTGGATCTTTCATGCACTCCACCCCTGGATGTACTCACCTCCTCCCAGATCCCGTTGTCCGGGAGGGGAACAGGGAGGCATGACAAGACCATGTGTCTAGGATCATCGTCAGTAGAATCACTGAGAAGAGTAATCAGATCGGATTGATCTTTGAATCTTGCTTCCTCTAACATTCTAGAATTTCACATGTGTAACGCTCACCACATATGCAAAGAAACCACAAAGGTTAGTTGTTGATGGACTTTGAGTAGGGGGAAGAAGCCCGCATTCATTAGGGGTCTATTAGGCATTTTACACATTTCATCCTCACAAGAACCCTCTGAGGGAGGAACTAGACCTGTTTACAGAGAAGGGAGCTGAGGGTTTGAGAAGCTAATCAGCTCAAACAAGGTCACACAACTAGGATGTAGGTAAAGAAGAGCCTCAGCCCATCTCCCTGGCTCCCAAACTCATGCTCTTTCCACTGTACCAAGGCCTTCTGGGTCTGGAATTGGGGAAAGACACGGAGATGGGAATGACCAGATGGTGGAAACAAGTCAGTAAAGTGCCGTGCAAAGCCCTCCTCCCGCACTGGTGAATGGCCAATGAAGTGAGGGCAAAGGTCATCCAGGCTACCCCACCAGCTTCTGTGTGAAGCCCTTAACAAAATCATTTGTTACAAGACAGAATTTGTGCCTTTCCAGCCTTGCTCCTGTGATTAGTCTTTTAAAAAGGCCAGGCCAATGACAGCAGTAATTTTTACATTTATTTTACTCTATTATTGCCAGGCACTATGCTAAACAGTTCTCATGCATTATCTCACTTACTCCTCATATCAACCCTGTGAAATAGGCATAATCATTCCTGTTTTACAGCTGAGGAAATCGAAGCTTAGAAACGTTCATTGATATGTGAGGGAGCAGAGCTTTGAACCACACAGTCTAATTTCTGACTCACTTGACTACCTTCCAGGATAGGTGTTCGTTGGGTCTGTCTGACCAGCATACTCACTAGCCCTCATGTGTTCTCTCTTTTATACACACACACACACACACACACACACACACACACACACACACACCCTTTTCTTGTTCCTCCCTTTCTCTCCTTCCCCCTTCCTCTTTCAAAATGCTGAAATCTATTCTCCAGTTTTCTCTCCTCTGAGTTGCTGACAGCTGAGACACCCTGCCCTTTCCAGTGGCCCTGGGGCAAATCTGAAACTCTCATCCAAGAGAGACTTAACCAGTTCCCTCCCATTGCTCTGAGCACCCGACTCCTTCCACAGCACCAGCTTCCTTCCAGAGGAACTTCAGCAGTCTTGTCTATCATATCCCTGTGGATGGGTTGTTTTCTGCACCATTCAGCCCTAGGTTCCTTTTTAAAGCCTGAATCTTTTCATTCTGGTTGCCCCCATTCCATTCCAAACATCTCCCATTGCATCTACAATGGTTTTCAGGATAGCAGGTACCTCTGCCCATCTAGATGACTGAAGCCTAAATGAGAAGGCACTTGGCAAGCCTGGGCTCCTGCAGCTTTATATGTCTGTGGCACGGGCAGCACAGAGTCGGGGGAAGCCATGGGCAAGTGCAGCCCTACTTGGAAAGATGCCGGGCTGGAGGAGGGGGCTGAGAAGTGTCTAGCGTCAAATGCCTGCAGAGGAGGCAGAGAAGTACTCAGGCAAGGAGGGCTGGACCTGCAGGAGCCACGGATATGTGCACAGAATCAGGAATGAATGTGAGTGACTGGAAATCACAGTCAGGGTGTAGAACAGTGGGGTGGCACTAAGCTGAACAGATGGCTAGTCCAATAGCTTGTATACAAACATGTACACGCTCAAACACACACAGAGACACATGCTAACCACACCTTGCAGCATCCCTCTGATGCCAGCATACTCATCCCCAAACTCATGAGTGACAACAGCTCTTACAGAAAGGACCCAGCCTCAGCTGCTCAGCCCACACGTTGTACTATGGGTCTCACTGCTGGGCTTGCTAGGGCCGCTGCCCCTCCCCCTCTTCTGCTCAAAGAAACCCACCTTCCACCTCTTGCTCCACTACCTTGTAACCAGCGCTGGCTGGCCTGAGCTTCAGACGGTGATCCTGGGGGGTATCAAGTATCCCCTCTAACACTTAGAATGAATCTCCCTGAATACAGTCTTCAGTTACTTCTCCATGGCAAGGGCTACCACACCCTGGGGCCTCTAGAGGCCATCTTGACCCTGCTAAGCATCTGCTTTCCTATGGCCAGCTACCTCTACCTATTTCAGGAGATACCTGTAGCAGATCAGCCCCAGCATCCTTGGAGGGGGTTTCCTCCCTTATTTCCTTTGAAGCCCCATTCTTCTTCTGCCCTGGGTGCAACACCCCTCTGTGTCTGCTGTGTTTACTTTTCCTAGGAGCATTAACCTGTCCTGGAGTCCATCTGTCCACTCCCCTATCTCATGCCTCTCAACCTCCCTCTTCACTAAGAGGTTCTAACGCACAGGGCTGGGCAGGTGGTTATACCTCCGCCTGCTCTGTTTATCAAGGACCATTCCTGCTTATATCCCTTCCCCTCACTGTCAGCACCTCCTGGGTGTAAAAGTTCATCTGTATAGTCTTTGGAAAAGGGGGAAAAGTGAGCAAAGCATCCTCAGTAATGGAAAGACAGAAAAGCACCCTAGGGATCCACACCTCCCAGGTTCTTCATCCTCCTGCACTTCTTGCACTTGGGGGGCCTCATGAGGCCCCTTCCATTTACACAAACCCCCTTGTTAGTGCAGGGGCTCTAGCCTTTTGTCCCACACACCCCTGACTTACTCTTCTCTTCTTCAGCCTCACCCATCACCATCATGACTCAAGATCACGCTCATAGTGTAGGTGAAGGCAACAGCCTCCTGGCCAGAGCGTGGCATACAGACTAGTTAAAGCTTTGCTCTTTGGCATCAGAGAGGCTGTGTTTGAATCCTGGCTCTGCTAATTACAGCCAAATGATGTTCACAGGTAATTATGGGCAAGCTCCAGTTTTGTCATCTATGAAATGGGCAAATTAATAACATTTTAATAACTTTGGAGAACTGTAGGAGAATTGACTGGCAGTGTGTAGTAAAGCACTGGGACCATGCCCAGCACATAGGAAAATATCAATACGCAGGCGCTTTCTTTATTAGCCACAGACACTCTTCAGAGTTTCGGTCTAAAAAGAAAGCTTCAACTGTAACATTCAGTTCATGGGGACTTGGAGCCAAGTGCCCATGAAGTCAAGGGCCTGGCCTGCAGGTCTGGATACCCGGTTTCTAAGTAATGGCAAACACAAGGAATACTGGTGGGCATCTTAGAATTTTCACTATTCATCTGTGAGGGAAACAGGAAATGCCAGCTCTCTGCCTGACACAGAGGGGGGTGTGAGGGTTAAGGAGGCAATGGTTTCTTTATAAATTGTTTAGTAGAACGGTCTCTGCTAGAAATCTATTTCAACCATCATCTGAATGTCCCTTCAAATCTCATTGTCTATTGATCACAGGAAAGCAACCCCATTCTGCCTGTCAGCAGAATTATTCGGGTCACTGCCCTAAGCATTCTATTGGTTGGGCCACTGATGACAGCCAGTGAGCAGGAGAGAGCAGAGTGAACCTGGAAACCCTGTGTCTCCCTCTGTCTGGGCCAGCCCAGGGGGAACAGCTGCAATGGATGGGCACCTACATTTGGGCTCAGGGGGCCATTCAGCACTATGACCAAAGGTCCCAAATTCTCTGGTAGTGCCTCCATTCACGTCATGTCCCCAATAAGGGTGGATTGTTAAATATGTCCAGAAATGTGATTTGATTTTTATGCCTCTTAAGGTTTCTTAATCAAGTCAATTTGCAAATGTGAAAGGAGAAATAATTTGTCAAACTCTCGGAGAGAATACATATCTGGAAGGCATAGTCACCAAGCTCCCAGATAAGTTTAGTAAATGGTTGAAGTGCTATTTATTTCTCAGATTGAATGACAAAATTGCACCAGGTGGCTTTGTCTATGAGCCCCGCTGCTGGTGAGTCAGAAACACACACACACACACACACACACACCACTCTCTTCCAGCAGCTATCATTTGTTCAGAAAGAGTACCATGTTCTCACAGCAGGAATGAAAGGCATCCATGTGACCACTTTAGCTTCCTCCCTCTTTATTCCCTAGTGTGCTTAGGTCCCCGCTCTGTCCGGGGTGGGCATTCCTTTGGACGAAGATACCCCTTTCAATAGAACATCATAAAGGGGAGGCTGACAGCACCCCCAGGTGACAGCTGGTACCGCCCCCCCCCCCCACACACACACACACTGACACAGGGAAGAACATTGTGAGGAGGTTTCACAAAGAAATGGGCAGGGGGAGGGAGAGGGGAGAACAGGGCTGTTTACCTTCCCATAAATCCACTGTTTGAAAAATGTCAGTGGTCCTGACGCCATAGATCTCTGCAGCTTTTAGGAACTGGGAGATCTGCTCCATCTGCTTAAAAGCCATCTTGGACTCTGAGATCTTGGCAATGGGCTCTTGTCCAGGTGGGTATAAACTGTTTATCAGCTTGCATAGGACCTGAGGGAAGAAGGGAGGGACACCATCAATTTTCCCTTCCTATTTACTCATCATTAATGCAAAGGGAACCCTTACCCCTCCCCCAACTCCCCCATCCCAGGACACAGTTGATAGGTTTGGGCACAGGCAAGTCTTGGGCCCCAGGAAAGCATGGGCTCTGGGCTGGGTGGCCAGGCAACCATACCAAACCCCAAAGGCCCAGGCAACCCCATTCCCAGGGCCACTGCTGACCTCAGTGAGCACAGTAGCCCTGGAATCCCCTTCTGTCCTTGCTCCTCCCTTCCTTTTTCTGGGTGAGGGGTCAGAATGTTTACAGATAGGGAAGGATGTGCCAGGACGAGGCCATGATTCCAGACTTCAGTGCAGGGATGAGCTAGTGGTGGCACCCAGGGTGATCAAATTATAGAATCTAAGATTATTTCTGCTATCAAAAGGCAGATCCGAATCCAGCTTCAGTAACTCATCTCCTTTGTGTTAATGATGTGTACACGAACCGAACTGGGTACCCTCCTCCCAGATACCTAACCCAAGTGCTGGGCAACCCAACATAAGTGTGGGTAGCAGTTATGTAATAACAGTTAATCACACCCTGCAGAGAAAGATGGGCTCCTTTGAATCAGCAGAGCTGGAGTCCCCGATTCCCCAAAACACGGAGCTTCTGGTTAGACAAGCAGTTATCAAATAAGGATTCCCTTCAGTTTCCTGAGAACCCCTCCAGTCACCACAGGGACATTGTGCACCTCCAGGAAGCAGGCTCTGGGAAGGAAGGTGGTTAGTCTCCCCCTCTCCTTTGTTTTACTATGTAACCAACCATTCCCTTGGGGAAGAAATGGCCCCAGATGAGCTGATGCACCGAAAAGGCTGGAGAGACCTCAAGGAAATACTTATCTCTATTCTCACTGGAAGAGCAAACGGGCTTCGGATTTGCCAACAACTCAGAAGGAAGCTGTGCTGTTCGGTGGGTGAAGAATCCTCTGCGCTAGCTAGCTAGGGAATTGTGCAGGGGGCCCAGGTCTTCCAACCCCGAAGACATAGAGGTAGTTCCATCCCCTCCCCAGGGAACACAAGGAGGGCAGCAGCCGCTCCGCCCGCAGCCTCACCTGGAAAGAGAAGGCCCTGGAGGGTTTCCCTGCCCACCGAGTTCGCCGTCCTTACCGTCCCGTCCATTAACCACTGCTGGAAATGGGTCCTGCCGGGGGGCGGGTGCTCTATGTCCTCAGCGCACTGCAGGATAATCCAGTCCACCAGCTTGTTCTCCAGGTCCGCGTCGTACTTCTGCTCGATCTTCTCCTGCACCTCTCGGCTTAAGCCGTAGCTCGGGCCCCTGTTAGCCATCTCTAGGAGAGAAGAGAGGACACGCGCGGCATCCACACAATAGCGGCCGGCTCCCTGCGCACGGGCGGGGAGGTGGCTGGGCCGCCGGCCCCGCGGAGCGAAGCGGGCAGAAAGCCGGGCGTGGTTTAAATCAAGGAGCCAATGAAGCCACTGGGGTTTCACCTTCAAACAAGAAAGAAAAGCGCAGCCACGCGCCAGTGACTCTAGAATAAAGCCCCTGCGGGTCCAGGGGTGGGGAGGGGTGCTGGAACCCGCCTCTTGGTCCCGCCTATCAACCAGATGCGATGAGGTACAAGGACTCACGATCACAATCGAGGCTGAACCCCCAGGCAGCAAGGGGGCTGGGTGGTCGTTTCTTCCCCCCTCCAGTAGCACTTTGCCAAGGCAGGAGCCGTGAGATGGGAACGAGCCGGTGATTAACAGGCAGAAGGGAAGGCCGCCTTGACGCTCAGCTGCTGATGCTGCATGGCGTTTGCAAGAAGGGTGCACTGATTCGATTCTCTCCGGGCTGAGGAGGGTCATACCAGGGCCGTTGCTAAGAGCCCTCCAAAAAGCCAGCCCTCTCATGTGTCAGTCAAGCCCGCAGCCCCCCTCCCGCGGAGAGCTTGTTTCTCAGCTGCACAATTCTTTCCCCCGCTCTGGGGGAGGCCGCCCCGTTGTATCCCAGGCCCACACACAGCTGCACAGGGGAGGGAGGAGGCCTGGGAGAGGGTCCATTCAGTCAGCTGTCCATCTGTCAGGATTGCCAAGCCACTTTCCCCCGCCCTGAGGGAACAGTTGTCTGGCAGGACACGACAGGAGGGGCTGAGAGCTGCAACCATCAACTTACTCCGCTGCCAGCCAGATTTCATCCAGAAACTTCCACCCTGGTGGGAAACTGGCCTCAGTTTGACTTATTCAAGGAATGTAGCCTTTTTTTTTTTACAGAAAGATACTAAGAGCATGTTTTATACAGTAAAACGAGCTCAATATGCTAAGAACTCTTGTAATAAAAGATTTGGATAGATTTTGATTATTTTAATTAAGGAACAGTAAAGGACAAGTGATATACTCTCAGTGGTAACTGAATATTTGATATTAGCAAATAAGACTTCAGGAGAAATCATCGGACTTAAGTTGGCCTGAAATTTTTATAACTGTTAAAGGGTTTGACAGTTTATCTTCCTAGACTGGGAGTAAAGATTGTCTTACTGGTTTTGTGTAATTCTCTGGGTACTTATCATGAGATAATTTGTTCTCTGGTTCATTCAACAGAGTTTTTGAGCACTTACCTATGTCAAGTACTGTGCTCGAGAGGAATAAAGTAGAATTCTTACATCTGAAAAGATGGATCAATGGACTCAGGCACATTAGAAAAAGCCCTTCTAGTACATGGGATGGTGATCTTTGTTTCTGTGGGAAATTGATTAGAAGCTATGCAGGAAATGACTCCTCGAATAATACATGTGTTGAGAAAAATCTACTGCCGGCTGGGGCCTGGACTAGTGAAAATTTAATTACATAGTACATGCGTGACTGGTGCGCCTGAGAAAAGACTTAGTGTTCAGTAGTTGAAGGCCTAGGAGAGAGAATCTGAAAAACCAAGGATTGTGGAGAGTCCAGAGCTTGCAGGAGAGCAGTGAATTTAGAAAACAGCACAAGGGCTGACCAACCCAGTTGCTGAGCTGCGTGAAATTCTCAGTTGAAGAAGCTCGAAAGACAACAGAACCCTCTCAGAGACTTGGAGCTTAGGGAAAGGGCAGGAAAACTGTCAGCAGAATTTTGAAAGGCACTGAGTTGCATCATGGGTGGCAGCAATATGGTCAATTCCAACCTGAGACTAAGGAAAGGGAAGCCCAGGCAGAAGGTATGTCCCTTTCTCTGTGGCTGGAATTGTTCTAAGGAAGATGTTGGTTTGTTAATATAGGTAGAAACAATTCTAAAAGATGTACATCTGCCCCTTCTTTTATATCTTTTTTTCAGACTGTTTTGCAGATCTTTTGAACCCAAAGATTTCTTCCCATTGTAACAAAATAACTAGGTGCTTTAAGTGAATACTTGAACTCAAGGTTCTGGAGAGGATACAGTGGCAAAGAGGGGAAGGTATAGATGAGATGTGTCCAGAAATCCACAGGAAGCCATTAAAGGGAAAAAAACACACAAAAAAACTTGATTCCCTAGAGGAGTGACTGTGGAATTCGGCTCAACCCTGTATTTCCTGAGTGCCTACTACTATTATAGTTACTTTTTCAGCAACATTTTAAAGGCCTCTATATCTGAGATTTTAAAAAATGAATGAGACATGGCAACATAGTTTAGTAGCTAAGTTAAACTTGTAAACAATAAATGCCAGCCAGGTATCATGCTGAAATGATGTACAAGGGGCTAAGGTATAATTATATTAGAGGAAGGGGTAGGGGGTTAGGAATGACTTTAAGTCATAAACAATGAAGATGTGTTCGCCAGGTGACTGGGGCAAGATATTTGCCAGGTGGATGGTTGAGGCAGAGGGGATAAGAAATGTCAGTGGCAAAGGTGAAAATGATCTGATATTCACAAAGCATAGGGTTAAAGGGAAGAGACACACAGTAACAAAACAAACAAACAAACAAAATTAGGCTGTGATGTCAGGCAGGCTCCTGATCATAAAGTAGTGTGGTTGCAAGTGCCCGTGGTTAAATTTTCAGGAATTTGAGGACCAGTTGTTAAATTCAGCCATTATAAGCAATTGAATCATATAAAATTACACTTGAATAAATTATATTATAAACCAATGTCAAATACTCAAAACAGATCATTTTCTAATTTATTTGGCTTCATTTTGATAGTACCTATGTTTTTGAGGATATTTATGCTTATTGTCTATATATAGTTGTCTACGGAAGACTGTACAGCCTAAGAAACAATCTTATAAGAAATTATTTGAACCAAACCAACAACAATGACCAGGAAGCAAAATCTCAAGAGATCAAGAAAACACTCTGGAGAAGGGCAGTTCTGCAACTTACTTTCTACATTAGAATCAAAGAAGGCAATGGGAAATGTTCCGCGACATCCATGGTGGTAGACGAGGAAATCTGGGTCTGGCAAAGAATATTCCTCTGCTATTTCAAAGGTATGTTATTTTAGATGCACAAAGACAATAGATAATTTCAAAGGTAAAGGCTGACTTTTGTCAAGGAAGCCACAGGACCAGGACATGACTACACCCATGACCCACTTTTAGTTAGGAATTTTTATGTTCAGACCACCCTGTCTCTGTGTTTGTAAGGCCCATCATGCGGGCTTCCCCTGAGCTTGTCAGGTTTAGTATATGACCCCTTTTTTATCCATATAATGTATATGCTACATAACGATGTGTTACTGACCACTTCTTCCCAGCTTCCTCGTATTCAATGACGTCACAGTGGTAGCATGAAACCAGTCAAGACAAGACTCTTCCTGCCATGAATCAGTGCTCCTCATCTTACCACCCCACACTGGAAATCTGGACTTATGTATCATGCAGTAGAATTTGTGGTTCCCCACCCCCCCACCCCACCCATAGGGAAAGAGAACCATCAGTTCTGATTTGGGTGAAGGAAAGGAACAGCTTCAGATGACTCACATGTTTGACTTGTCATCAGGGGCAATGGTGGTGGTGTTTATTGTAAGGGACTGGTAGGTAGGGAGGTACATAAAGGGGGGAAGGATAATAAGGTTTGTAACTGCACTTGGTAGGTCCATGGTTCACGTCAGTTCATTAGGCAGTGGTTTTATGTAGTTGGAGCTCAGGAGAAAAGCCTGGAGTGGAGAAATGTACATGAGTCATCTACATGCAGGTAGCATGTAAAATCCAGAACATAGGTATGGTTGCTCAAGGTAAATAAGTTAAGTACTGAGGTCAGAATGAAAAGGGAATATTAACATTACAAGGTGGGTAAGGAGGAGGAGCCAGCAACACGGTAGATGTAGCATGGTCAGAGACATCTGCGGATAAGTAATGTCAAAGCCTCTAACCTCAACGGTCCTTTGAGAGAGGAGGCCGGCATATAAACTGAGAATCTCAAAAAAGTAAGTTTTATCCAAAAGGCATGAAGAGAATGCCTGCTTTTCATGAGAGAGCACAGAGGACCCAGCGACAAACTTGCTCGAAAGAGAGATGAAGATTAGTCAGGAAAGGCTTCACTGAGAGCCCATCATTTTTTTTTTTTTTTTCTCTTTATTGATTTTAAAGCGAGAGGAAGGGAGAGGGAGATAGAAACATCGATGAGAGAGAACATCGATAGGCTGCCTCCTGCATGCCCCCCACTGGGGTTTGGCCCACAACCTGGGCATGTGTCCTGACCGGGAATCGAACCGGCGACCTCTTGGTGCATGAGTCGATGCTCAACCACTGAGACACACTGTCTGGGCGAGAGTCCACCTTTGAGCTTCTTTTATCTGTAAGCAAAAGCCCCAGACAAGAGCCCAAATGGGAAAGAACCACTTCCTCAGGAGACATATTTGGTTAATAAAAATCGCCTGCCTTTTCCCTGGTATACTCTTGGAACATAGCAAGGCATCACAGTTTTCCATCAAACCAAGTTATGCATATATGATTGTGTTCTAAAATTAAAAAGTTACTCTTTTTAATCCTCACGCAAGAATATTTTTTCACTGACTTTTAGAGAGTGGAGGGGAGTGAGACACATCGAAGTGAGACAGACACATCAATTGGTTGCTTCCTGCACGAGGGGATCAAATCTGCAACCCAGGCACATACCCTTGATTAGCCATCGAACCCGCAAGCCTCTGGTCTGCAAGCCGACGCTCTCGCCGCTGAGTTAAACCATCCAGGGCTTAAAAGTTACTTTAGATTTGTATGTAAAGGAGTCTTAAATAAGTGGATCTAAATTTCACCCATCTTCCTCCAGAAAATAAAACTTTAGTTTTTTCTTTTGTAAACAGCCCCAAATTTAACGAATATTTACATATTTCTTGTGGGTGCTGCCCTGGAAATGGTTACGTGGTGGGTAATGTTCTCCTTGCTCTCTACCTCCTTTATAAATTCAGCTTGCCCAAAGCCCTCTGCCTCCGCCCCTCCACACAGGCCTTTCTCTTGGTTCCTTGGAACAGCATGTGCGGATGTCAGGAAATGCCTCCAAGCTCAGCAGATGCAGCAAAAGCAACGACAGTATATTACGTGGCCCCACAGAGCCTTCTTTCCACCGCACACACTGAGATTGTTTAGAGGGGCCACGTCGCTTTCTAAATAATTCAGAGGGGTCCCATGAGACAAGGCATTCGGGCTGCTGGCTGAGCATTTTCCTCACTGAATACATGGCAGGGAGTGGTTTTAGGGAGAAAAAAAGAGCTGTGGGGAAAAGTAAAAAAGAACACTTAAGTCATTAATAATGTACACTAAATCCCACGGATTCAAACGCCTATGGAATTTGTGGTACTACTCTTTGCAAAGCTAGATTAAATTTTAAAACAACTTTTTCTATCTTTAGATAGTGAGTTTCCCCCTCCCTGCTTTCCCTAACCATTCACAACACCGCGATTTAGGATCATGAGGTTAGGCAGGTCCAGTCCAGGACAGATTGAGAAGTCCGACTTCGCCTCCACTTTTGTTCCTGAACCCCCATGGATTGTGGTGATCATCAGTTTCCCATTGGACTGTGCTCTGTACATAATGAAAGCAAAAAAGTAGTGACTCCTTTGTGTTAATTGTTCTAATTGTGTTGTACTTAAGTCTTACACTGTATTATCTAGGTTTGTGTTGTCATTTTACAGGTAAGGAAACCTCAGGCTGTCACGGGGCAAGTGAATGGTGAGCCAGGATTTCAACCCCAGGTCTAGTCTGTCTGTAACCATTAATGTATGCTTCCTCTACGGATATACTATGAATCTGTAATCAGATTTATTATGTCTTATTAGTTATGAGAAAACTTTCATGGGCCGGGCCCTTTCCTCTTCTTCGTAATCCTCGCGCCTAGCAGTGACTGGAATAGCTACCCTGCCGTCCACTCTCAACTCCCTCCAGCACCAGGCAGTGGCACACACAATTCATGTTTTTAGTGCTATATGACTTTTGTTTGGTGTAACTCGTAGACTAGTTTTATTGCCTCGTAGGACATTAACCTGTTTTGTGTCTGTCAGGCATCCTACTCACAGGACTCGGCCTCTAGTTCTACTCATTGCTACCGTTCCAGTGAAAGGATACAAAGCAAAATTCGAAAAGCAAAAAGGACCCTGGGGTGAAATCTGGAAAAACTAGGCACAAGCATGGAAGAAGTCTTTCCCAGGGCTCACACAAGATGAGCGAAATCCCAGCATTGTGAGAGCACACATCAAATGCTGTCCACCAGGGAAGCGTGGTCGACGCAGTGCCGAGTTTTATTGGGAGCTGGTCACTTAGGCAGTCTCTGCCTGACACCTAGCAAAATTCCAGACTCCCAGAAGAAAGGGAGGTGTTCAGCACAACCATATTGTTTGCACAGACAAGTTTATGGACAGTGAGCTGCTTTTATCAGTACTGTGAACCCTCATAAAATTCAAGTTCCCAGACGCCAGCCAAGGGCCAACCTTGCAAGCAGGTCTCTGAAGATAAGTTGTCAGGCTGCTACGTTAACTCTTTTTGGCATAATTTTCTCCATTCTTTCTTCACGTTGTCAACTTTAAGTTTTACTTTGATAGACATGACCCAAGCAAGCTAAATAAAGTCCAACCAAACTTAAAAGCAAAAATACACCAACTCAATAATATCAAGACTGACCACCAGTTACCAAAACACACACACACACACAAACCTTTCTTATATGCACTTCCAAAAGTTCTCTAATTTAGAAGGCAATCGCTAGGCTATTTAAACTTAAGGCACATATTAATAAAAAAGAAATGTTTCTGCAGGTAGGCAATGCTATATAAAGATTAATTCCCTCTTCAGAGCATGAAATATATCATTTAAAATAAAATTTCCCCATTTAAATACATTATATATAAACCAAAATTTAGAAATGATACATCCTTTTTATCACTGTAGTTTTGAGCCTTTAAAAAAGATAACTTTCATTTTAAGCTCAAATATAACATGTAGAATAAAGTAATATCTATTTATTTAACTTTATTGTGCTTCAGCCATTGCTCTAAGTATTTCATATTTATTTCCCTGTATTTTGGGAACTGCATTTTAAAAATAAGAATTTTACAACTCTCCATATACAATGATACCAAGCAGAATATTAAAAAATTAAGCTTTATTATAATTCTAAGGAGACAAGAACACAATTAAAAGCTGGCACACTTAACAATAATATAAGTTAAACATCTCTTGAATAAAAATATAGGAGATATATTAATGAAAAATAAATCAGGGACTGAAAGGGAACAAAACATTCCAATTTTCTAGCAGCTGGTATAGTTGGCTCTCTGTATCCGCAGGTTCCGTATCCCTGGATTCAACCAACCCAGGTCCAAAAAAGAAAAACTCCAGAAAGTTGATCCCTAAATAATACGGTATGACAACTATTTACATATCATTTGCATTGTGTTAGGTATTACAAATAATCTAGAGCTGATTTAAAGTATACAGGAGGAAGCACGTAGGTTATACGCAAACACTACGCCATTTTTCTACACTAGATTTGAGCATCCTCGGATTCTGGTATCCGAGGGGTGGGAGGGTGTCCTGGAACCAATCCCTGGAGAATACAGAGGGAGAACTGTACTTTCTTCACAATTTGTATCACTTAAGTGCAAAAACATCATTAAATAAAACCTCACGTGCTATCTACAAAATAGTGGTAAGAGGAAAAAACTTTCTAAGTATTAGGGCCTTCCATTTGTTATCCTTCTTCCAATCTTTGGATCCATTAGTTTAAATACCAACTAAAAATGTGATTCTAGTTAATTACAGTTGAAAGCTTATCAATTAAGTCATCAATAGTGTAAACAAGAAGTTGAATGTCCGCTTTTTCCTTCATTCGGTGATCACTATGTTTTCGAAGGATGACATCTACATCTGCGCTGACTACTCGGTCAGCAACCTGTAAGGACGTATGCCAAGGTACAATGTCATCCTTCATGCCATGGAGCAGTCTGATAGGGCAGTTCACAGGAATAGGACTATGTAACAAGCAGTGGTACTCAGCTTCTTTAATGAAACTATATTGAATGTGATAAACTCCTTCTTCAGTGTATTTTGATGGCATGCTCCACACGCCTTTTATCTCTATATCCTTTTTTACCTATTGAAAAAAATTAGGAAAATAAAAGTATTTATTAAACATTAACACATGCAATAGTATTAAACAACCTAAAAATTTAAACAGTAAAAAATGTACAATAATAGCCCTGGCCGGTTTGGCTCAGCGGTTAGAGCGTTGGCCTGCGGCCTGGAGAGACCCAGGTTTGGTTCCCGCTAAGGGCACGTACCTCGGTTGCAGTTTGTCCCCGGCCCTGGTTGGGTCGTGTGGGTGGCGACCACTCGATGTGTCCCTTTCACATCGATGTTTCTCTCTCTCTCTCTCTTTCTCTCTCTCTCTCTCCCTCCCTCCCTCCCTCCCTCCCTCCCACTCTATCTGAACAAAATATGGAAAAATGTCCTCGGGTGAGGGAAAAAAAAAAAAAATATATATATATATATATATATGTATTTTTTAATTACAAAAAGATTTGATTCAATAAAACTGAGTGATTGAAATCAACTGATTTCAGTGAGAAAGCTGTATATCTGAAAAATGTAAATATCTGCCTCAAATGATTTGAAACTAATAAAATAAAAAAAACTATAAAATACATGAATCTATATTAATATCAAGAGGTTTTCAGCATTAAAAAACATGTAAACCAAATATTTAAAGCAAAAATGATACTCAGCTATCTTTAAACTACTCAGGATTACTCCTGAATTTGTAATTTCAGTAATTAAAACTTCGTTTCATTGGTTATTCGATGAAGTGGAAACTATGCTAATTACTGAGACACAATAACAGTTGCATTTTAAGCACCCTTACCCAAATTGCTGTTCTCGGCCACTGAATTGAATGAATACTGTTCATTTGAAGAACAAATTTTACAGAATGTTATATGCCCCAAATTCTCAAAATAAAAATAAAAAAGTTAAGAAATAGCAAAAATAGTATTAACCAAAGAAAATGTACAATATGCATACATGCTACACCAAGAAGAAACCGTATCAAGGCAATGTGGTTGAGAAGCTTGGATTCCAAACACCCCTACATCCTGTCTGACGCCCTCTAGTGTCCAAAGGAGATGATTAGAATCAGTTCAGAGGTTAAGTCAAGTTCCTATACAATGAAATGCTGGTCTTAACATCCCAGGGCTAGAAAAAATAGTAAAAATCTACACTCGTGCTCCTTGGACAGTTAGGGATAGCTGTTTGTGTGAAAAAAGAAAAGATAATGGTCCTAGTATCCCTGCTCTTTCCTTACATACTTTTAAATTAACAAGGGCTTGATGTGTTTCTGTTAAGAATTGTTTCCTGGTCTGATTTAGGATTAGCAAAGATATGCTCTGATTTGCAGAATACAGATCTCAGTCACTCTGGGGGTATCCACCATACACCATAATCCTCCCTTTGAGTGCTGTGAACACACACACACGAACAGAAATGTATGTATGTAGATCTTGTCATTTGCCAGTATCAACAACAACAAAGAGCTGTTAAATCAACTCCCTTCCAGTCTGTCATGTTCTTGAACTATAGTATTAGCAAGTTAAGAGGATGGAGTAGTTAAGAGGTCCAAGGTTTAGATGCAGAAAGATGCAATGGTAGGAAAATTTAGCAGCATGAGGATACTGAACGAGAAACAACCAAGAAAGTAAAAAAAGTTCAGAAATAGGAGACAAGTGCAAGGAAAACCAGCCTCACTATTTTAGTCCTGATAGAAATAATGAAAATCCTGACTGTGCAGAAGAATGACAGGAGGTATACACTGAGGTTGCCTGTGACTTACCTCAACAGGAAGCTGATGAAACTTTGTCACTAGGCTATCTACAGCTGTGGCTACACCAATAAGAGCCACAACCTTCTGTGGTCGTGCAATTGCAGCATGAAGCATAAGCCATCCGCCAAGGCTAGATCCAACTAGTATCTAAAAACAAGTAATATGTATAGTTTTAAAGAGCAACTTCTTTTTCTTTTCTATAAGAGAAGTAATTTAATAGATGTGCTTTTTTAATTTTATATCCTTTGGATCCCAGACTTTTAATATTTGACACAAAGTGGAATTAAAATTATGATTATTTTTTGTTAAAGTATCTGGTCTATAATGGAAAATTATAAAATCTGTAAAAAAGTAAAACGGTACTTACATTTTCAGAAAGTGAAAATGACGAAACAATTTTAAATCAAATATCAAAATTGGATGCTAAACACTTAAATTTTCATATCAAAGAAACAGCTCAAGTATCATGGGGTTACCATCAATAATTATTTAAGAAAAATAGTCACCTGTGGTCCTTCAGCTAAGTCGTCAATTATAGAAAGAACATCTTTTCTCCACCTTCCCACTGTACATTCTTGTAAATTACCCTCTGAATTTCCAACTCCTGAGTAATCAAACCTGGAAAAAAGAAAAATACATATCTATATCTAGATATCTATCTATATATTTCCTATATAGCACATTCATCATTACAAAGCCTAAAATATACTTCAGAAAATCCTATTGGCTTAACCATCAAATACTTCTCAGAGCTCCTCACTTTCTGATCTCCTCCACCGCTGGTAGCCTGGTCCACATCACCATTCTCTCTGGACTGAACTAAGAATCTCCTTTTCCAATCCCCCTCCCCTCCCCAGTCTACTCCCTACATTGTAGCCAGTGATTCTTTCAAAAGTCATGTCTTGCACAAACCCTCCAAAAGCTTTCTATAATCTTTAAATAAAATCCAAAGTCCTCACCACACTTGGCCCCTGACTACCTCTCTGATCTCATTCCTTGCTGCTCTCCCTACCGTTTCCTCACTTTCCTTCTTGAAGTTAATGGAAACCACCACCCATGTTCTTGCCCCCAGGAGTTTTACAACAGCCTTTTTTCCATATGGAGTATTCTACATCCAGACACACACTTAGATGGTTCCCTCACTTGATTCAGGTCTTTGGCTCAAACGTTACATCCCCAGAGAAGTCTCCTCTGAACATTCCATCTAAAAATGGCACTTCTTTCATCATTCTCTATTTCCTTACCCTACTTTATTTTCTTCATAGCAAATATTGCTACTTGACGTTTATAGATGACATTTGGTTATTTCTGTGCAATGTCTCCCACAGTAGAAAGGAAGCTCCATATGGGCACAGGCTTTTTTGGTTCACCACTGCTTTCCCAGTGCCCAGGTCAGCACCTTGCTCATGGTAAGTGCTTAGTAAACACTGAATTAGTGGAAGGGAAAGAGGAAACCAGAATCAAATTCATCACCAGCCCACCCATTTAAGTTTGCTTCTCCTTCCAGCTTTCTAGTTCTCCTGGCTCAAAGTCGGCCTGATCTGTGAATTTCACCTCTCCTCAAGGTCTCAATTCAGTAAGTGATAACATACGGTACCACTCCTATGCATTACTATAAACTCTAGTCATACTGAACTGCTCCAATTCCTAGATAAGCCCATTCAAAATATTGAGCCTTTGCATATGTCCCACTGCCCGGAAGACCTTCCTTCCCTATGCAAACTCCTGGTCACGTCACCTCCTCTGAGGACCTTTCCTTGACATATGCCCTGTTTAGTACCATCAGTCACTTTCTTTTGTATGTACTCAATTAACACTTTTCATATTGTGTGTTGTAATCAAATTTTGAATATTTGTCTCTGACTAGAATGTCAGTTCTTTAAGGACTGTTTTAGTCAAGTTTGTTTTTCCAAGGTACAGAACACTGCCTGCCCGGTACCACCCTCACTCACTATTTTTTTCTCACATTTATTTCTTTCTCTGCAGTGTGGTAAGACCAGTATTTTGGTGCAGGTTTTTGTCATCTTAAAACCAGCCCATCACAGGGGCCTCCTAACTGTGCCTCTATGATTCTACTCTTTCTTCAGATGGATCCACTTTATAAGTATCAGGTTTTTCCTAAGATTATATTCATATGGCATTAACTTCAATGGCTCCCAATGACATAAAACATAAACGTTTAGTGCTTTAGGCCTGTATTTTTAGACCATTACATTCTGGTCACCTAAGACTGACCTTTATCATTTTCTCAAAGGAAACTACTGCTTTAGCCAAATTGATCACCCTGCTGTTCCTAAAATAAGCTCTATTTTTGGTCTCTGTTACATGCCTCATACTATTTCCTTCACCTGAAATACCTACTGCCATCACTTTCACTACTAATATCCTCTTTCAGAACTTAGAACAAATGAGCTATTTTTTTATTGGAAAGGCCCAAATTAAAAAAAAAATCTCTAACTAATGAAACTTCTACAGAATTCATTTTTATCAGTCACAATCAAATTATTATATCCTGCTTTATAAGATAGTTTGTGTGCATATATGTGTCTCATCATTCCTGTGACTGTAAGATCTTGGATGGAAAGAAGCTATTATCTTATTTCTGTCTTTGCATTCTCTATGGTGACTAGGGATGTAAACCTCACACACGCAGTATTATAATACATTCCAAGTGAATAGAAATGAAAGGTAAAAGTAAAGAGAATTACTTTATTCAAATTTAAAACTTTCATGTTTTTCTGATTCTTAACATCTGGTAAAAACTAATAAATCCTAGTATGTTTAGTACATACATAAGAGTATATATGTAGCCCTGGCTGGTTTGGCTCAGCGGTTAGAGAGAGTCAGTCTGCGGTCCAGAGAGACCTGGGTTCGGTTCCCGCTAAGGGCCATGTACCTTGGTTGCAGTTGGTCCCCGGCCCTGGTTGGTCATGTGGGTGGCAGCCATTCGATGTGTCCCTTCACGTCGATGTTTCTCTCTCTCTCTCTTCCTCTCTCTCCCTCCCATTCTATCTGAATGAAAAATGGAAAAGTGTTTTCGGGTGAGGATAAAAAAAAGAGTATATATGTAATATATACGTAGTTTATACTTATTTTCTTACAGATAAGGGATTATTTATTTTTTCAGGCTATGCACTTATTTTTACTATAAAAACAATTTCCTCCAATAGCTGGAACTATATATACATTGAGAGCCAATGACTCAATGTTTCAATTCTTAAATATACACAACCACGGGAGCCTGGTGAGAACCATTCCCGACCCTCCCAACAGGCACTCCACATCCTCCCTCCACCCATGGACGGTGTCAGAAGCCAACAAAATTCTGCCTGCTGGCCGACCGAAGGAGGGTCTTCACATGGAGAGAGTGTCCGAGTCTCCACTGGGCCCAGCTGAGCCGCAGATGTGGCTGCTAACTCTAGGGTCACCACACCTGGCACGTCTGAATCACCTCCTTCAAGGCCTTCAGCCCCCATGCTTCTGTCCTTCATGGCCATGGCAAGGAGGGCAGATAAGGGATTTATAAGTGACAGAGAAAGATGAAATTAAAATTTTCTTCAGGTATATAAAAAAAGGAGTTTGGATCGTTGGGAAATTGGGTAACGAGGCAGCTGCTGAAGTCTAAATTACCGTTATCATTCTCCCTGAGTCCAGGGTACATAGGAGACAGGCCAGAGAGGAAAGGAGAGCAAGGTACCAACTGGCCCTTTTCCTCTCCTTGACAGAACATCAGACATTTCTCCTTGCTGCATCTTTTACAGTTCCCTTACAAATATATGGTAAAAATGTAGAAAATGTATAAAGGCCCTTCATAAAGGAAATTATAACCATTTAATGATGCTAATAGGTTACAAGTAAGAACACTACCCAAAGTCAGATATTCAAACATATTCAGCAGGTTTATGACTTTTAAACAGAGTAACAAAAGTCTGTCCCTGGAGCCTCAATACTCTAGGACATATTCCCAAATCTAGAATTAAATATTCCATATTCCCAAATCTAGAATTAAATATTCTATTAGAAATAATTATGATAGAATACCAGCCCTAAAACATGTTACAGTCTTTAGCTCTGACTCCATTTTATTTTAGGCACAGTGACAGGACCTTAAAATATTTTCATATAGCCAGATTACTTGTTGTACAATATACAAAACTCACCATTTCCTCATTCAAGATCTAAATTTTGCAGATAAAAATCATAACAAAAGTAAACGAAAAAACTGGAGTATAAATAGAATATAAAATCTTGTAAAAAAAAAAAAAAAAATCCTCTCCTGAGGATATTTTTCTATTTATCATCAGATAGAGTGGGAGAGAGAGGGAGACAGAGAAACATCGACATGAGAGGGACACATCGACTGGTTGCCTCCCGCACAATCAGACCAGAGCTGGGGATGAACTGCAAATGAGGTACATGCCCTTGACCGGAACTGAACTCGAGACTCATTGGTCCCCAGGCTGCTCTCACCACTGAACCAAACTAGCCAGAGCTAAGAAGATAAAATCTTAAATGCAATCAATAGTTAATAGTGATTAGATTATAATGGAGTTTTGATAAAGGCAAATAAAAACAAACTTGATAAAATTAAAAATTTGTAGTGAAGGGCTGTACTCTGTAAAGGTTTATAAAGATACACATAGCCAGGCCGGTTTGGCTCAGTGGATTGAGTGTGGTCCCATGCATGAAGAGGTCACTGGTTAAATCCCAGTCAGGGCACACGCGGGTTCAATCCCCAGTAGTGGGCGGGCAGGAAGCAATTGTTTCTCTCCCATCGATGTTTCTATCTCTCACTCCCTTCCTCTCTACCTAAAAATCAATTAAAATAGATATACACAGGGCACATTTTAACACTGTACCACTTAATAGTCAACATTATAATTTTATCATGATTATTTACTACACCTTTAAAATGTATTTCAGCCCTGGCCGGTTTGGTTCAGCGGTTAGAGAGTCGGCCTGCGGTCCTGAGAGACCCGGGTTCAGTTCCCGCTAAGGGTGCGTACTTCGGTTGCAGTTTGTCCCCGGCCCTGGTCGGTTGTGCGGGTGGCAGCCACTCGATGTGTTCCTTTCACATCGATGTTTCTCTCTCTCTCTCTGTTCCTCTCTCTCCCTCCCACTCTACCTGAACAAAAAAAAAAAAAAAAAAAAAAAAAAATGTATTTCACATGTACCCAAAATACAGAAAACCCACATGTCTTATAGCAAGCTAGGAAATGGATATAGTTTTCACAGTCACAATTTAAATTCAAGAACTAGTAAAAAGGTGATTCCTTGATTCAAAATCTTTTAGGGACAAAAAGGGAGAATGATGGCAATATTTCTGTTATCATGATGTTTTGCTGAGGCTAGTCCCCTTCCTAGATAGCTTTTGTTCTTACCCAATCCTAACTATTCTTCAGTGTTCCTTTATAAAGACTTTTCTATGCACGTCAATCCTCAGTTTTTTTCTCTCCCGATACAATAAAGGGTACTGCTCTTTTGATGCTATCACATTCTGATGAGTGTTTCTGCCAAATTTCTCATCTATATTTTATCCTGTTTCCCAACCCCGATGAAAGGTTCTTTAAGGGCAATGGCCATGTTTTATATTTCACAGCACCCAGTACAGTGCTAGAAAGTGTGCATGCAAAAGACATACCAGTCTTCAGAAAAAAAAGTTAAGTCAGAACAGACTTTTTAAGAGTTCTAAGTAAAAAAATGAAACAATTCAGTTAATTTAATAAAAGAAAATAAGACTAAATCCATATAATTGACAAAATTTCTGCTAATATATTAAACAGATAGTCTAAAAGTTTTTTTATTTTTATTTACTTTTTTTTTAAAGCTGTATTTTCTTGCTCTATTGAGCAAATGTTAGTTGGAACTACTCGTCTAGGCTGTTAGTGCTGAAAATAATTCAGAAATTACCTTAATCCAACCTCCTCCTTTTTTTTATTATGAAAATAGGTCTAGTGTATATAACTGACTCATTTTGTCACAGTTATTGCTACAATTGATTTTAGAGCCCTTGTCTCTTGAATTCCAGGCCAATGATCTTTCTATTAAACCATACTCTCTATTCTGGCAAATTAGGCACTAAATAGACAATTGTTATAGGTAAACAAACCTAATTACAACAACATAAACACATCATTTTACTAAAATATTTATTAGCATAAAATATCACAAAATTGTGAAATCAAGTTTTAGTTAAACACCACATATCCCTATTTACGTTTTATATATTCAGATTATAGGAGTGAAGAGAAAGAGGAAACAGAAATGTGAACTCGACAATACAAATTTTATAATACAGGAGTTCTTCCAATGTTTTGTTCAAGGTTGTTTCATTATAATGTTGATGGATATCACATGAATTTAACTCTTGTTGATATCAATTAGTTTATGGTAAAAATGGTTTGATTGTATGTCATTTCACTTAAAGTCACAGAACTTATTAATGACATTAAGTGAGGACTTAATGTACTTTTAAATAAATATATTATTTTTAAATATGTATTTTAAAAAGTAAAGTAATAAATAGTGGTCAAATGAAAGTGCTTAAGTCCCTAATGGAAAACCACAATATAATTACAAGAAAACCAATAGTATATTGGTTTGTTGTCACATTAGATTGTACATAAAGACCTTAGTTACTGCTAGTTTCCTTCCCTGTCAGTATTGTGAGTGTGGCACAAAGACTTTTAAAAAGGTCTTTTAAAAGATGCACTTACAAACACCCTACATCAGAAGAAGTTTACAACCATGAAAACAAATTCATCTATAAAAATGCAGGCATTTGCTTCAATGGTTAGAGCAGAAGTAATTCTCTACTGCCATGCTAAAATGGTAGCAATATTTTCTTCGAAATGTGTTTGTTCCTACCTTATATAGGCGTGACCTAGAGATTTGCAAAACTCCTCAATCGCCAATGCTTTTGTACCATTCATATTAGAAATATAGCCAGGGATGAAGATAACTCCTGGACTTTTGCCTTTTAGTCTCTTATAAGCCAGCTTTGGAAGGTCTGGTCGGCTAAGGAAAGAGACTGATGTCTTTTGTCTGCAAGCTAAACAAAGTACACAAAACATAAACCACAGTTTGCAAATACAGTTTTTGGAAAACCATATGTACATTTTTTTCAATCTTAATTTTCTTAACTTGTTGAACTGATGTCAAATACTATTTCCACTTGACAGAAAAAACAAAAACATTGAAGTATTAAAGTCACAAGTCTGTGCATATCTTTAAAAATCATTTCAAAATCAGTACCTTCTTTGAGCAAGGTCCAACCTTGCTTCTTCCAAAATACATGAGGTGGTGAAAATTTCAAGGCAACAAGACAGAGAATCATAAAAAATGTTTTCCTGTTGCTGCTATATCATCTGTCCTAAATAGTATTAATCAACATTCAGATTTACTTACATTAACTTTAGCCCTCTCATAAAATTTTTGTCCTCTTTTTAATTTTTAAAAAATGCTTGAGGAGTTTCACATTCTCTACATTCTGGTAGGGAGACGGAGAAATAAGTTTGGTATGGCCTTAGAGGAGATAGTTTCAAAGGGGGGAGGTGCTTTGTCCATTTTATTACTGACTCCCTCTCCACCCACTAAATCATGGGCCATGGTACTAGCCAATCATGATTCTCGATCAGCTGAGGCGCATCCAATGAGCAGTTTCTTTACAAGTAACCTTGAAAAATATACCATAGTATCAATTTTGAGGAAAACATTTCTCATAGATTCTGCAATCACTGTGTTTTATTGTTGGTTAGGTTTTCTGTGACTGGTAAACACAGATCCTAATGCAATTTAAGTACAATAGCAAAACTTTAGGAGCTACTCCATTTCACTGTTTTTAAAGTTCGTTCCCTATATAAAATAACACTATTACTTACAATAAAAAAGTAAGAAAAAAAGAAGTCATTTATAATTATAAGCCCAGCTCCTCCCTCCAAACAAATTAGGCTGGTGTATTTCCTTACAGTCTTCTTCTGGACCAACAAAATCTGTTATTTTTTTATTACATTAAACATTCTTCCACTTTATTGTGGCCAAGAAAAACTTCATTCTCTTCTACGCGAACTGATAAAGTTGACTTCATTCTGGATTTAAGAAGTTGATTAAAAGAAATTAAATTGGAGCCTGGCTTGTGTGGCTCAGTGATTGAGCATTGACCTATACACCAAGAGGTTGCTGATTGGATTCCTGGTCAGGGTATATGTCCAGGTTGTGGGCCCAATCCCGGTGGGGGCATGCAGGAGGCAGCCAATCGATGTTCTCTCTCATTGATGTTTTTCTCTCTCCCTCTCCTTTTCTCTCTCTAAAAATCAATAAAGAAAACAAAAATTAAAAACAAACAAACATTAAATTGGAGACCTTTAAGCTATTCCTTTTACACGTAAGCTTGTTTCAAAGATTCAATGTATAGTCAAGTATTCCAAATTTAAAACTTTCAGTGAAAAACAGGCCTAGTAGGAGCCAATGTTGGTTGGCAGATGGTGTAAGCAAAAATGTTCATTTCCCATTTCCTTAACTCAGCACTCAAAAATCCTTCCTATCCTCTTAATATTACTTCCCAACACAGGAATGTCTCTGTGAGACAACAATAATTTACTTAACCTTGGTAAATTATAAGTGGACAAGTTAACATAACCATAAATGATCTTTGCACAATAAAGATTAGCTCAAAGCCTGGTGCATAAGTGCTCAATGACTGGTCGATAAACAGATGAAAGTGTTATATAGTCTTTAATGAATTTAGTGGTTAATGACATGATGTACTACAATTGAGAAACATATATAACACGTCTGACAGTGCACAATTAAATGTAAGTTAAACTGATAATAAGCATTTAAATTTAAACTGAAAGCAAAGAGTATCCGCAATAACAATTCCCATTCCAAGCAATCAGGCATCTGAGTGGCTAAAGGTGTGGACACAATAAAACCAAACACTGAAAAGGCTTAATTTAGAAAGACAGACTATATATATGGGAAGGTAGGACTGGGAATGGGGTGGGAAGGGGAAGGAACCACATAAGATAAAGAAAATATTTAAGTGCTTTGAGTTTTGCTTTAAATTCCAGTTTCCTTTTCCAAGTAATGATTATGGTTTTAAGTGAGCGGGAGAACTGAGGAGAGAAAACCCGAAATTAGGAACAATCTTTATACACTTTTACAAAGAAAAGGTTACATCCCCTCAAACCAGAGGGAGGCAGGTCTAAGCACGTTCAGAGTCACGAACTGCAACCCCACCCCGCAGAGAAAGGAAAGAAAAAGCAACTAATAACCAAACGCAGTAAAAGCACACGTTAGTTTTCCTCTCCGGCGCTCAGCGCAGGGAAGGCAGGCAGACAGCAGGATCCTTAAACCGAAGAGCGTGAGACACCGGCAGCCGCCGGGGCCCGCCGGGGCCCGCCGGGGCCGCCGCACAGCTCTCTTCGCAGCCTTCACCAAAACTTTCGGAACTGGGGTACCGAAAATGGGGTAAGAACGTTTTTGAACTGGGCGCCCAAACCGCACTGGACAGGGACGGACGACATCCGGGAAGTTCGAAAGAACGCGCTCTACTCCTGTTATTTCGGGCACTGACCTGGGAGCCACCGCGGCGCCCTCTCGGGCTTCCGTGCAAGTACGGTGCTGAGTCCACGGTGAAAGCCGAAGGAGACGGCCGTCCAGCCCCACCTCCAACAAGGATCCCAAGCAGCCGCGGCCGCCATGCCCACGCCAGCCATCTTCCCAGCGGTCCCTGCGCCCCGCGCTGACCTGCCGGGACGCGCAAGGCGCGCAGGAACCGGGCTGCGCACGCGCCACCGGCTGGCGCTTGAAGACTAGCCGCACTGGAAGCGCGCATGCGCAGAGCCTCGTCGCTCTGGCCAGCCTTTCGCTGTTGGGCTGTTGGTTCTCCTCTAAGGGAGTTTTTGGCTGTTACCGTTTGGAAAGCGTGAGTGCCCTGTTGGGAGACTACTTATTGAGCGGGCAGGTAGATATTACAAGGCTGGAAGCGCGGAGAGAAACCGTATTCAAGGTTCCTAGATTGGAAACCATGTCATCAACCAGAGGACGCTAGGGAGTGGAAGCATAAAATGTTCAGCTTGCTGCGTTACTAGTCGCTCTCTCGACAGTTTTAATCTGTACGGGAAATGCTTCCAATATCTGACTTCACATCTACTTGTGTGAACTGACCATGCATCGCTCCTTCTCCCCTTTTAAATTCGTTCTCGTTCTAGCTCTTCGTCGGCCTGACTATTATCTTGATCCCTGCTCCACATCATATGCAAAAATAAATCCCAGTAGATTAAAAACAAAACAAAACAAAAAAAAACTCAACGGAAGAATAAAATCTAGAGGATTAAATACATTTAGGAGAATAATTTATAGTCTGGGACTAAAAGGGGCGTAATCTTAAGATTTGAAATCCCCAAATCATAAAGAATAAAAATGTTCACTTTATACAGATTTAAACATTCTGAATGGTAAATGGCCCCTCTAGTCAAATGAGAGTCTAGAAGAATTCGTGTTACAGCACAACATTAATACTTCTATTTAGTCTGCTTCTGGAAATGATAAAAAATATCCAATTCCAATAGAATTGACCAATGGCCATGAATAGGCAGTTCCTATGTGTAATCATGATATTCAACATCACCAGTTGAAAAATATGAGTTAGCCCTGGCCGGTTTGGCTCAGCGGTTAGAGCGTCGGCCTGCGGTCCTGAGAGACCCGGGTTCGGTTCCCGCTAAGGGCGCGTACCTCGGTTGCAGTTTGTCCCCGGCCCTGGTCGGTTGTGCGGGTGGCAGCCACTCGATGTGTTCCTTTCACGTCGATGTTTCTCTCTCTCTCTCTGTTCCTCTCTCTCCCTCCCACTCTACCTGAACAAAAAATGGAAAAATGTCCTCGGGTGAGGATAAAAAAAAAAAAAAAAAAAAAAAAGAAAAATATGAGTTAAATAACGTGCTATTTTCCCCCAACCCATCAGATTGGCAAAAATTTAAAATAGCAGCTATTGGCAGGAATGCTGGAACACTGGCAAACTAGGACTCATGTATGGTTTGTGAGAAGATGAATTGCTAAACTCTTTTGTCAACTAATCTGACCACATCTTTACAATTTAAAATATGCGTCATTTTCAAAGCCCTTGATCCAGTGGCCCTATTTTGTGACCATCCTATAGAAAACAGTACTAACCATAAAGATGCATATTATTACTACAACGCTATATTTAGAGGCAAACAGAATGAAAAAAATTGAATGACCAATCATAAAAAATGATTAAATAAATTGTGGTACAAGGGTTTCTGGATTCCAGCTCTTATACCCTTCCTTCAGTGTAATTCTAGAGGGTTCTCAAGCATCAACAAATAAGGCCTTATCTAGTTCTTTCACTATCTAAAAGTTACTGTGGTTGGTATAATACTTAGAGTAAACCTACTTTACTATCTTGGTGATAAATATTGGAGCAACGATTGGTGCTAGAGTTAAAGGCAAAGGTTAAAGTGAATCGGTTCATCTTTAGAGTCTTGAGAATCTGTCCTAGTGCAACATACTGGAACAGTTAGCTTAATAAAAATGGAATAGATATCTTTCTTGAGAGATATAAGGCCAGAAAGAGATAGCAAGGACAGACACTTGATTTCAGGACATACTTTGAAAGTTGCTAACATATTTTGTCAGTTCTCCTTTAAGCCTGTTGTAGACTCCAAAGGGACTAAATCAATATGGCAATGACCAATGCATGTCACTTCACCGTCCCTTATATCCTAACAATAAACACTTATCCTCAAGGTTTTTGGATAATGGCAAATATTCTCAGTCGTTTCTGTCCTTAATTTCTTCCTTTATTTTAACAGGCCTTGCATTTTATGTGCAGCAAAATGAAAAAAATCTGATTTGTCCTCATAGTGGGAAAAATACTGCACACAAAAGCAGGGAAAACCATTGATTGTTTCCTCTATTAACCCTTCTCAGTCTAATAAATCAGGAAAAATTGTGGCTATTTTCAAGTGAAGATAGTTTACTGACAGTGATGGGCCTGAAGTAGGCAACTTTGTTTCCAGTGACCTGCTGTAAATGTTGCCTTCATTAACAGGGCTGAAAGGACATATTGCTGAGGCAGTTTCCCTTTCTGAAATGTGCTGCCTTAGTTCAGGGAGACAAGTAAGGTCCACCTGGAGTAAAGCGCTAGCGCTTTACTTCACATCTGCAGGATTTATTCCTTGTCAGATAGAAGGGTAAGTAAACACAGCCCTTGAAATCCTCAGTACTAACTGCATCTGTGCAAAAAGACACTCAGTGTCAGAGTTTTCAGGGGTTATCTATCTTATATTGTTAGCAACAGGAATGTGACCCGAGATACTTTTAATTACTTGTTTTTAAATGAAAAATCATATTGCTAGCACACAACATCCTTTATGTAGATGGAGTTTGGCTGATTAATCAACCTCCCCCCCCCCCATCATGTTACCAATAGGTAACTTCCTAATGAAAGATGAGTTTATTTTCAAATGTGAAATCTGGTCAATATTTTAATTCAAACACAACATATTTTGACACACATATTTAAAAGGTTTACTACATCATGCAAGATATAAAGTTGACTAGAATATCTTTACAATTCTATGAAGAAAGCACAGTACAGAAAAATGATATTTTTACATTAACCAAGAAATTGTTAGCAATTGCATTTCACAAATCATTACATGATTTAGGGGTGATCTCTGAAAAAAACAGATGATAAAAATGTCTTCTGCAATCGTGATTTTGTCCTCCACTGTTCAAGTAAAATCATGTGTCATCCAGTTGCAAAATCTTATTGGCAATATGTATACATGTACACAAAGCATACTGCAAATGTAAAAAATTGTACCCAGGCAGGCCTGACAAAGATGTATAGACACTTTTAAGAATCTAATCATTTCACTTTGTACTAGTAAGTAATGTCATTATTTTCTACTTCTATTCATTTGCCAAGTTTTAGGAAAGAATACATTCATACTTACAAATACACAACATAACAAACCACAATAAATGGCATTTAAAAAACTCTTACGAAAGAGACTTGCCGGAAGTCACTTAATTCAACAACAATTAATTTAACTCTAAAACAAAGGCTAATTGTAAAGAGATACATAATAAAATAGTACATTACAGAGAACATGAATGAACTTCATGTGATTTTTTTTATAAAACTACAGCACTTCTGTAAATAAGTATTCTAAATGGTCTGTTCTTTGGTAAAAACAGCTCTGATTTCATAGTTGTGTCATGGGAGGCTGCAATTAACAGGGGTGCTCCACAACAAAGGAAAATCAGACAATATAAGGAAACTGGCTCTTGGTTACCTTTATTTTCAGCACTGGGAATGGAGAAATCTTCATGCAAACAAGTTTCTAACACTAAACATTCTCTTTATTTAAAATTGCCCAATGTCTGTCTAAGACTGCTTTCTAAAATACATGACGTTTTGTTCTTTCTTCTTTTACAAAAAGTGGCTTGCCATTCCTGTACAGTAGCTTACTCTGGTGGCAACTCTTCAAGGTCAACTTCCTGGGCACTCGATGGCATCAAAGTTTCATTTTAAAGTGTAGAATAACACTAAGTGCAGTTCATCATTTAAAACTACCACTATTAAACAGAAGTTACGTCAAGTCTTTGGTTTTGGTGCGGTACTTAAAAATTAGGGCAAGAGCTCCTCCCGTAATATATTCTTCTCCAAGGCCCTGTTTGCTCATATTTATAATAACTTTTGGCAAAATGCTCCTATTTGTAAAAAGCCAGTTAATTACAATAATGTCAATGCCAATGATTTGGGTGCTAAAATAATTTCATATTCCCAAGTATGTACATTTTATAAACTGTTTAGTTCACCAAAATCAACAATTGCTAAAAAATATTTTATTAGAAATGTTCCTATAAGTGATGCTATTTACCAAAATAGTGTTTTCTTTCTCATAGATGATTTCATTCTTTTGCTATTTATCATCAAGCTATGAATTAAAACACTTTTGTTCTCATTTACAAATGACTTCATCTTAATATGAAAGGAGTTCTGAGTGTACACAGTTAAAAGGATGGGTCTGTTGGGTCTTTCCATCTGGGATAGAATATGGCTTCATTCTTGTAAGAGATTATTGCATTCTGCCCTGAAATGGATTGTTGCTCCAGTTCACTACAACAAGAAGTGAGTGTAACCTTCTGCCCCAGTAACTATAACATCCATCCAGATCCTCATGGCTTCCGGTGAGGGGGCCACCATATAGTAGATTCTGTCATGTGTCTTGACACTAAAGGTGAGTAATGGATTAGGACTCTAAAAATAAAGAAAGGAATAACACAAACATCTTGAAATTTTAAAATAACACAAGGGCTTCTTCTTTAAAAGTTCTAATTTATCTACATAGGCATTACTTTTGCTCTAGTATAACCTATACCCCAGTCCCAACATTTTCTCAAGACTGACTGTCTTTCTGGCCTTTCTGCACAAGAAATTTCAGGGAGCTCACCAATCCTCTGAGCAGCTCTTTTGTAAAGCTCTAGGAGTGTACTAGCTGATTGTGGGTGCTCCATAAGTAATAACTCTTATTCTTAGCCCTACTAAGATTCTTCCTCCTAACTACGTAGTATCTTCTCAGAACCCTAGCAAAGAGTCACTTGGCAGGGTCCCTTCCAGACCAATATGTCCAGAATATGAGGGTGTCAATGGGGAAAAAAGGAGAAATATCTGTAACAAAAATAAATTAATAAAAAATCAGAATATTTCCTCACTTCACCATGACTTTTTCCCCCCACAAAAAGACCAGAGATACTAATTATTTCTATGTTTACTTTTCTAGCACCATTCTGATCACATCTATCTGTTATGTCAGAAAAACAAATCTAAATTGCTTCAAGTAAAAAAACCAAAAAACCTCAATTATGCATTCAGATGGTAGGAATCTGAAAATCAGTGTTTACCTTATTAGCATTCTTGAGGTGATCATGGTAGACTTCTTCAATGGCTTGAAAGTATATTACCCCTTTTAATTTAGTTTCATGCTTGTCTGTAATAATAGATGAGTATTAAATACTTCATTATCACCAATGGACAGGAAAAACTATAATTCACTATATCATCATTAAAATATTTATCTAGTATTAAAATTATTATCTAAATTTAATTCAGATATTTTAGGTTAGTGCATTAGCCTGGTTCTATATTTAAAAAAGGAAAAAAAAAAAAGACATTATCAGCCCAAACCAGAGGGACTAAGTGACTTTGTGCAAGGTTCTCCAGCAAATTAGCAGTCAAAGCATAACCCAGAACTTCTGTCAGGTTGACACACAAAGAATAAACACTATTGACACAGATGCAAATACTTTTTCTGTATTCTTTAAGATATTTGAGTGGAAATATTCCTATGTAGAGATATTGTAATGAAATTTGTAACAATTATGTTTTTCTACTTATATTTTAAAATAATATTCTACTTATAATTCTTTCCTATCAATTTCTTGTCCAGCATGCTTGATTTATTTTCCTTCCCAATAGAGCTTCACATCAATAATTTAATGTCCTTGCTATGCAGCATTTTCCAAACCGTTCCTAAGATTTCCCATAAACACCAAATGAAACGCCTAAAAAAAACCCCCAAATAACCAAACCACCAACCAAATCAACATCACTCTATGATCTAATAAGGTCTTGGAATATTTTATAATTTAAAATAATCAAAAATCATAATTCATGTGAGCATATAAAATTTTTAAAAATCATGGAAGAGGATGCAGAGAAAGAGACTCCACCATACCCTCTTGGTGGAAGTGCAAATTTAAAACAAAGCCTTTTTTGGAAGGCAATTTGATAAACAATTAAAAATGCAAAACACCCTCTTACTCAGCAATTCTACTTCTAAGTCTTTGTTGTACAAAAGCTACTTATGCACACGCACACAGATTTGTATTTGCTATGGCAAAAGGCTACCCAAGAGCTGCTTGAACTTGAACAGGGAACTGATTCAATAAAAACCAGCCGTAAAACAGAATCTAACAGCCACTGAAAAGATGGATGTAGACCTGCTTGTGCCCAGTAGAGAAAAATCTTAAAATATTGTAAAAAAAAGATATGAACAGAATGAATAATTTGGTCCCAACTGTATTAAAGAAGAAAGAACACATGTAACATCCTACAATTTATATATAAACAAAGAGAGAAAATCTCAAGGATATTTCAGTGGGAAAAGGTCAGAACTTTTGTGATGGGAAAGAGGCAGTTTCTTTATAGACTTCTGTTGAATTTTTATTTTATTTTATTTATTTATTTTTACAAATGAATGTCCCTTTTTTCCAACAAGAATAAAAACCTAGTCTGGGGGGGGGGGGGCGGGGGGAGACAGCCCTAAGAATTTCAGTAGAAAATAAAGCTGTTTAATTGCATTTAACCCAGTGTATCTCCCAAACATCTGCTAGAAAGATTCTGCACTATTCATGGGATACAGTAATACTTCTTTTTCTGAAAACGGATGCAAAATAAAATCTGGAGATAAAAGTAAATCTTGTCAGTGTCTCAAGCAGACAGAAACTGGGGAATGAACTTCATATATGAGAAAGAACTCTGAAAAATATAGGCCTCACAAGGACACTTTCAACTAGAGAATCAATAAGGCTATTGTAAGTTGATGACATAATGCTCTTCATTTTGTTTCAATAGCATTATCCTATCAATTTACAGACATCTTTTTTATGCCTGGGATTTTTAGAGACTCTTCTGAAGCTACCCAGTTAATATGCCAGAGACCAAGTATAGAGCCCAGGGTCAAGGTCAACAGAGAGACTTAAGACTCTAGCTGTCAGCACTCATCTTTACACCTCCTTCACACATACCGTGGTCATCTACCTCACTGACAAGCTGAAGGGGCATGGCGAGTATGGGATCAAGTCCTGCCTGAACTGCAATCTGTGTGACTTCCTGTGGACTGATCTATTCCTGAACTTGGTGTTGCTTTGGGAATGAGTGGGGGTGGAGGTGGCGGGAGCAGACAAAGCTGACCACAGCTGTAAACAGAGCCAAATGGGTAGCGTTCACCAAACTAGGTCTCACCAGTTATATAATATATAAATATTAAAAAGCTGAATTAAATATGATTTTGTCTGTTTTATGCACTAGGATTCTGAGTAATCTTTCATATACCAAAAAGGTTTTGGCCATGATTAAAAATTGAAAATCAGTCACTAAGAAGTTTAAATTTGGAAAAACTAACATGGGTCAGAGGGAAGGGACACTGAACCACCCACTTGGCTGACCGATAACAAAATGAAATAAGGAACCCAGAGAAGAGAAGAATGAAGCTGTATGTCTGAAGTGATTTCAGAATTTTACTTTTGGAAAAATCCGGGTGAGGTTGCCTGTGGAGTCTAGCACACAACAAAGTTTTGTTTATGAATTTTGCAGACACTGAATTGGCATTTCTTATTAAATGGGCATCTTTTCTATTGTACTAACTGAAGAGGATGTCTTTGGACTCCTATAAAACTCAAGGTCAGAAAGCCCTACAAAGGCAAAACAGGGGATCTAGAAGGGTTAGGCCATTTGCTTCAGGCCACTAGCCACCGTAGTAACTGGAACCCCACCCAAAGAGCTCCTAACTGAAAGGCATGTACCCCCACCCTCTCTTCACCCCAATTCTGGGGCTACATAGACAGTGTTTCATTTCTTTCACATGCTTCTTGGTTTCTCACACTTCTCTTCATAAACATATCCTGACCTCACACTATAGATTAAATGGATGGACTTTGTTTTTGTACTTATTGCACAGATACTCCTTTTTGACAATTCTGGACAATGCTTATAAATGCTGAAACAGTCACCCAAAAGCAGTCTCTTCATGACCTGGGGGATGATACCACCCTTCTTCAGCAGCGGAAAAGAGGCCAGAGTTTTACTGGGTGGTAATGGACATGTTTCATACGTGACCAAGAGTAAATAAGAGCCTTGTTGATAAGTATGACAGTCACCCCAATATTCCTGTATTTATGGAAGATTAGGTAGGGCATGTTTTTCGTAATCCATCATTCAAAGCATCCAAAAATATCTCAGTCACTTAATAAATACTTACTTATTCACTAGTTTGCTGATAAACTTTACTCTCTGTGCTTAAAAGACCATTCCAGTTTATAAACTACAGCTGAATGACTGTCAGCTGTGGTCACCTAATTGAGTGTGACTTAAGTGGGGCATATGGCATAAATAAGTAAATAAATAATAAATAGAAACCATTTTTCCTGGCCTCCCTTGTGGTTTAAAAAGACAATATTTTGCTTCTAAAACTGTATTCCAGTTAAATACTTATTTGGACTTGAGATTATCTCAGAACTAGAATAGGCTAATTCACACTTTTTAGATAACAGTTTTTATTATTTTTAATAGGAAGTTCATATCATGTGGACCATATAATCTGAACATAAAGTAATATACATTTACAAAGTTAATATTATTTACCAATCTCCCTATTTATACTAAATTTTACTGTCTCTGGTCTTTAATAGAAGGTTCCTAATTTGAATGCAACACTTAGATTTTTTTCCATCACCCACCTGCATAATAAGAGAATGTACGCTTGTTCCGATCAAAAACAAACCATCGTTTTTTCCAAGTTTTAATTTTTCCACCCATTTTAATGAGGAATCCTCGGCAGGTCTTCTCTGTGATGGACACGTGATAACAGGTATCAATATTGTGGCCAGCAGTCTCCACGTGGCTCCGCAGATCAAAGTCTTCCTTCCGGACAGGCAGATAACGAGTCAAAGGTCGAGCCTGGAAAAGGGCAAACCCATTGCATCTGCAACTAATTATGTGTTTTGTTTTAGGTCACAGATGTGTAGAAGCAGAAGAGAACTGAGAATTCTAAGCATTAAAATACCCATGTGATTATGAACACTTAGGATAAACATCATCATATAGGGTCTAAAAAGTGGATAGAATTTAAGAAGGATGCTAAAATAGGGGGGTGGGGAGAGAATGGATAAACCCAGGTCAACAGATTTTATTACTTTAAATGGACAGATGAGAAATGGAACAATGTCATTTATCTTAGCTTTCAAGAAGGTACTTAGCACTTAAAACACAGGGAAAGCATGAAGTTACCTGGGCTGCTTCCTACAGATGAGGACTCCTCCATTGTCAAGTTCCCAGGAATTCTCCCCACAACAACCTCACAACAGTTCTTAAATAATCTCAGATATGATTGATGGAACATTCTCTAGTAAGCACAAACCACACAAGATCCCCAAAGCTGTACACATCGGCTTCCATACACTCTCTAACAGAAATCGAAGGCAGGATATATGTTGTGCAAAGTGAAGCTAAAATACAGTAAGAAGCAGAATAAAAATGCTGCTCAGGACCAGATACCAGAGAGATGGACACAGATGTCTTTTATTTTACTATGGCTGGAGTAGAGGTCCTCTAATCGAGGAAGCAAAGATATCACCATGGGTAATATTTCTAAAATAATGTTTTATTTTATCTTGTTAAATTACCCCACTCCTTTACCCTGGGGAAAATGACCTCATCATATACTTGGAGGCAACACTTATAATTAGGATTAAAGTTGAATTGTGCTTTTTGGTTTGGCTTCAGATACCTGCCTGGTGAATCAAAATTTGGCAGAGGTTTGGCATAGTAAGTAAGATAAAATGAACATGTTTTACTTTGTAGTTCTCCTTCAATATTTTGCCTTTGATTCTGTGGTACTTTGTAGACAGATGTCATAGGCTATGATACATCAAAGCCTTAAATAAAGGCTGTCACTGCTATACTATCAACTACCAACAACGGCAAAGAATGAGGGAAATGGTACCTTTTACCTTTAATTTGGTAAACTTTGGTAAATCTGATTTGAACTTTAAATGACATGGATTTAACAAAAATTTATCTGAGTGTCTCAGAAAACATACAGTATGTAAGCAGCTCTAGTGACAAGACCAGAAATTCAAACTCTATGATGACCAAGATAGGACATTAAACAGAATGGGTGGTTTTCCCAAGTTTTGCTTGAGTTCGTTAATTTTGTGCACATAGGTGTGGGCTGTTGTAGCAAAGAGGACACGTGTGACCATACAGTGGTTAGAAAAGAAAGAACACTAACACCACCACCAAGACACAGGGTCAGTAAAATTGCCCTGTTTTGGAGTGTTTGCTTCCAAAAGATGGCTTAATAGACCCTCTGCTCTTCCTCAACCAAAGGTTTTATTTTTGATGTTGTATTTGTTTTCAGCAGCAAATCCAGCTGTGTTTTTCAAAGCTGCTAAAAAAAAAATTCTTCTTTTAAATATAGTCCCAAAAATGGGTAGAAAAAGAAGTGTCTTTTCCATCAAATGTGCCATGCATGAACAGAGAAAAGGGTCATTTGACCAGTAGGTCCCGGTAAATTTTGAAATCCTGAAATTCTGACACAGCATTACCGTTTTCTACAGAACAACCACTAGGGGGCAACATACTCTTATCTATCCAGATTGACCCACCAACCTGTGCCCTTTGTTTCTCCCTTATTTTCACTTCTTTTTCAATTAACTTCTGCCTCTGGCTCGTTTCTTCCTGCAGCCGCTTTTCCAGGAGTTCTCGGCGTCGTTTCTCTTCTTCCAGAGCCCGTTTTTTGGCTTCCATTTCACGTTCCTAAATATCATTAGAGAGAATAAATTTTAAGACGTACGGATTATACTTGAATGATTGTAATTAATATCAAAAAGGAAATTTTCACTAGGAATTTTGGTTAATAACGTACTTCCTTACAATATGTAACCTCAACTAAAACATCCATAATCACCTCTCACATAGCTTTCAAAATTACCCTATACAGAAAGGCAACCACCAACTTTAACAAGTCAGTGTAAGTGAAAATCCAGCTCCTGATTACATCCAGTCGTTTCATAGTGACGACCACAACTCTCCCGTTTTTAATAAAAAGCCTCACAAATTGTCAGCCAGCACTACTCATGGGATTTAGTCTCTCTTTCAACTGCTGTCTTCTAACTGAAGGTCATACACACATAGGTCCTTCCAATTCCTGTTGTTGCTCTGCGGCTTCCTGGCCAGAGGTCGCAGAGGAAGCACACGGGGAAGCTAGAAGAGGAAAGGAGGAGCCCTTGGGGCAGGACGCAAAGGCATTTGGGGGGATTCCTAAGGAAGTTTAGATTCTGGCTTGAAATACAATCACAACAACGAGGGGTTTTTAATGTTACAATAGTGTCATTAATGCAAGCTGGCAAGGAATGGAGGATGCATAAAGACAGGGCATTCCTCCTCATTCTCTGGCAGCCAAACAAAGTGCCCACCAAAGGGAAAACACAATACAAAGCATTCATTTCGGTCTACGTCAACACTATATCTATTTTCAATGACGAAAGACTGTAGTGCAGTAAAGAGCCTTAGAAATCATCTAACACCCTTAGTTTTCATAAGAACATGAAGCCAAGAAAGGTTGAGTGACTACTCCACCATCACACTGCCGAGTGAGGTTCCAGGACAGCCTCTGGCATCAGGATCTTACACCTACCCTAGATTCAAGCAGCCGTGTCTTCTCGGCATGAGCCTGCTTCAAAAGTCTCTCCATTTCTTCTATTCTGGCAATATTTGAAGTGCTGGCGCTGAATAAAACACAAAAGCCTTTCAGGAATATTGTTTGGATTAAGATCTTTTCAAACACACACACGCACGCAGGTTCACGAAGGTGTATGACAAAATCCAATACAATTTGCAGGACCGAAGAGGCAAGTCAATTCAACTCTGAAAACTGTAGGTGGTACTGACTTACCTCAGTCTAGGAGACACAATACAGGCCAGCAAAATAATGCCAAAATAAAGCATTTCGCTCATAAACAAACAAACCTACACCACACTTTATAAAGGGTGTTCTCAAAATGCTTCCTGCAAAGTCTAAACATTATGGCCTGTGGGAGGTCTTCCTGTTAGCTGAATTGTTCAGAGATGACAGACCAACAAGACTACTGCAAAGTTCTAGGTAGATGACACCTACAGTTTGAAGTCTCTTTATTTGGCTTAGGAATATATGTCATTAACTCCTTTTTCATTGTGCCTTCACATACGTGGGCATTTTAGTTCTTAAATGAAGATGCTAATTAAAAAGTGACTTCGCTTCTTCTGGGTGCAGTTGGAGGGTGGGTGGCCAGTTTTGTCAACAATACCCACTTGCCATAGCAATGAACAAACTACATATAGGGATCCAAGAGCTTCAAAAGAAATGCATCTGGGGAAAGACATCACACAAACAAGCAAAGGAAAAAAAAAAAACCACAGGCAATGGATGCTGCAACAATAGTTAGGGATAACTAAATGAGAAAGAGAAGAACTTGGAAATGTTTAACACTAAACAAAAGTTTCAATTTTTCACTTGATTTTATTTGATTTCACTAGTTTGGAAAAGAGAGATCATAGCCTAGGTCAAAATGTATTTATTTACTCTGATGTTCCAGCCATGGAGAACCATCGTGGTTTCTTATGTGTGTACGTGTGTATAATCATTTAAACATCTGTATTCTTTTCCAGACCTTCCTGAGGACAGAGAGACTTTTGTGTCTCTGCCCCCCATGGCATAGGGCCTGGCACACAGTAGGAATTTGTGTTCGTAAGACATTCATATAAAGGGCATAAGATAATATTTAATACGATCTTCCAAAATTATATTTTGGGTCATCTCAACCTAGTTGTTTTAAAGAGATAAATGACTGTGGTAACACAGGACATGTGGTTTATCTTAAAATCAGTACTGTGAACACAGATGTTTTTAGCATCTTTATTCATATTTGCCAAAGTTTGGAAGCAACCAAGATGTCCTTCAGTAGGTAAATGAATGCATAAATTGTGGTTCACCCAGACAATGGAATATTATTCAGTTCTAAAAAGAAATGAAAAGACATGGAGGAAACTTAAATACATATTACTAAGGGAAAGAAGCTAAGCTGGAAAGACTAAATACTGTATGGTCGAACTATATCACAGTCTGGAAAAGGCAGAACTAAGAAGACAGTGGAAAGATCAGGGGCTGCCAGTTGTTTGAAGGGGGAGATGGGGAGGAAGGGATAAAAGGATGGAGCACAGAGGATTTTCAAGGCAGTGAAAATACTCTGTATGATAGTATAATAATGGTCACATGTCCTTAAAAAGTTGCCTAGATCCACATAATGTACATCAAGAGTGAACCTTAATGAAAACTGTAGACTCTGGATGATAATAATGTGCCAATGTAGGTTCATTGATAACAAATGTAGCATGCTGGTGGGGGTGTTGATGATGGGCAAGGCTATGCATGTGTGGGGGCAGGGGTTATACGGGCAATCTGTACCTTCCTCTCAATTTTGTTGTGAACCTAAAATGGTTATAAAACAATTTTAAGTCTTTAAAAAAAAGCAATTGGTACAGCCAGACCCATTACAAAATGCACCTATCAAGGAGAGACATAGCCTTAGGAATGTTGTATCCTTAGAAGCTTAACAATTAGGCTGTACTTCACCAGGTTACCCCAGGCCACGTTTTAGCCAGGTGTTTTATCCTGAGAAAAAGAACATGGCAATTTATTCTCTTTATTTCCATGAGCTGTTGGGGGAGGTACAAATAGTTAAGTTCTGTTCTCCTTGGCCAGCAAGATTTTTTTTTTTATCCTCACCCGAGGACATTTTTCCTTCTTTGAGTGGGAGGCACAGAGAGGAAGAGAGAAACATCGACGTGAAAGGGACACATTGAGTGGTTGCCACTCGCACAACCCAACCAGAGCCAGGGACAAACTGCAACCGAGGTACGTGCACTTAGTGGGAACCGAACCCAGGTCTCCCTGGACCCGCAGGCCGATGCTCTAACCTCTGAGCAAAACCAGCCAGGGGAAGATTTTTTTTTTTAATCTTTAGTATTTTGTGCAGAAATCTGTGTTCCCATTTATTGAGAATACCCAACTTCACGAACAGGGAAGGGACAAACTTCATCAATGCAACTGAGAAAAGCTAAGACAAACATGCAGGCCATATAACAGCACAAAATTATGTTTACATTCTACAGCAGTGATTTTCAACTTTTTCATTTCATGGCACACATAAACTAATTACCAAAATTCTATGGCACTCCAAAAATACATTTTTTGACAATCTGAAAAAAAGAGAAAGGTATAATTTTGATTCAGTCACACAGGATGGCTATTGTTGTGTTGGCTGTTACTTTTTTTTTTTTTTGAGAGAGAAGAAGGGAGAGGGAGAGAGAAACAGAAACATCGATGAGAGAGAACATTGATTGGCCACCTCCTACATGCCCCCACTGGGGATCTGGCCCACAACCTAGGCATGTGTCCTGACCAGGAATCGAACCTGCAACCTCTTGGTGCATGGGTCGACGCTCAACCACTGAGCCACCCTGGCTGGGCTGTTATCATTTTTTTACTTGACAATCTAAGGGAAAAGAGGTGAGTGCCCTGACTAAATAATCAGGTATTACATGTTTTCAAAATTCTTGCAGCACAGGGGTGTTCATGCTATGGTGTACCAGTTGAAAATTGCTGTCCTATAATGTTAAAGTCTGTGACATCAGATATAGATGTCTTATGTCTACAATTAATTTGGAAATAAATAATCTGAGTTTCACTAAGTCTCAGGTCTTAAGAATTGACTAATTAAAACACACACACACACACACACACGCACACACACACTCACAGTCTGACCTCAATTTGTCCCTTAGTTCTTTCTACAACATTCCCATTTTTCATCCAGCCTGTGCTCTGAACATTGTTACAGAAAACTCGCTGTGTCCATTCCTTCATTGTTTGGACAGCATTGTTATGTTGAACCAAAATCTATCTTCCTACAGCTTTCATTCAATGGCTAAGTATGGCCCTGAAACCACATGAAACTTATCCAGATGAATCAGTTGCAAATAACTTGGTTAGAAACAAATATTTTGAGCCCGTGGTTTTTCATATATTTGCAATTTGGGCTCATCCTGGGGGTACGTTTTCAAACATTTACCCAACTTTAAACATTTCTGTTCATTTTTAAATGTCTTAATTTTTACTCCAAATGAACTAAATTTCTTTAAAACACTGGATAGAAAGTACATGTTAACACTGACCACTTCATGTCTTCATTGCTTTTAGGCAACTAAAATTAACTATTTTTTTGAACTATATCGTATATACTTTAAAAGGTACTTAGTTATTTTATTTAAAAACATAAATTAGCCTGGCCAATGTGGCTTCAGTGGTTGAGCATTGACCCATGCACCAAGAGGTTGCAGGTTTGATTCCCGGTCACGGCACATGCCCAGGTTGTGGGCCACATCCCCAATGGGGGGCATGCAGGAGGCGGCCAATAAATGTTCTCTCTCATTAATGTTTTTATCTTTCTCTCCCTCTCCTTTTCTCTCTCTCTAAAATCAATAAAAAAAAAACACCACAAGTTTATTTTTATCTATAGATATTTACTTGTTTTCCATAGCGACACTTTTGCTATTGTTGAGTTTTAATATTTTCTTGACATTTAAGCTGCTTGTATTAAGCAAAACTTTTGCTGCTCTATGATTCATGTTGCCACTATTTGATAAGAGATGCACTTCAAAAAAGTGAGGAAGCCACTTAGGAGGTGGGACCAGTGCACATCTCCTGCCTCAGTTCTCAGGACTGCTGTGAAGTTGATAACCTGCTCCTAAGCTAAGCTCAAGGCTGAGCCATAACCATCCTTGAACAACTGCTGTATGGACATCTATGTACTTTATTTCCTTCTCGTAATTTTTTATTCCCTCATGTGCATATCAGAACTACCCAATCCCTGCTAATTTAGCTAGATTCCTTCATTTGCATGGAGGACCAGGATGGGAACTATACTTGTAAATCTCACCTGTATAAAACTCTGCCTTTCTTTGTTCTCTTCCGAGCACAACTGAGGTTGCCACCTGGATCTGGGCCTCCTGAGTTGTAAATGTTTTTGTTCAAATAAATACTATTTGTTCTTTATTGCAACCTGAACCTCTTCTTTGGTTAGCACTATATCTAGGGTAGAAAGCAGATTATAAACCTTTGCCTAAAATAAAGGGATTAGGTGCACCTACATTTCTAGTTGAAGTATCTTTTAAAACCAAGTTCAGCCATGGATTGCTCTTGGTCCCAATCCCAGTTCTATTTGTCCCTACACACACACACACACACACACACACACACACACAGACACACACACAGACACACACACACACACACACACACACACACACACACTGCTAGTATTCAAGCTATCATGAGCAATCAAATTAACATTTTCTCCTAATGAGCACAGGGTCAGTACTTAGTAAATAAATAATGGCAATAGTAATTCTAATGTATCATTGTAGGTGGTATTTAGAACACTACATTCTATAAGCCAATTCAGTAATTCTAGCAGAATAGAGGTTTTATGCAGAATCAACTCTGTTTTCTGAGACCCAAGACTTGTTTTCTTAACTCTATGTTTGTTTACAGTGTAGTAATAATGCTGAAAAAGCAAAAGCATTATTGTTTGACTCAAGTAACTTTCTTGGAGACACAAAAATGATGTCTCAACAAAAAATGAAGGGCAAATGTACCCACAACTGAGTAATTCTATAATTTTACAAATGG